ACACTGAGAGTTCAAAAAATCATAAAAATTAAAGACGCCAACAATAAGGAAGAGAAGGATAAATATAAAATAACAAATATTGTCGAAGACTTCTACACATCCTTGTACAGCTCGCAAAGCCAGCCTAATGAAACAACAAAGGAGAACGTCAAAAGAAAAATAAAAAACGTGGGATCAGAAGTACTACCAAATATAAAGAGATTCGAAATAAAAAGAGCTTTAAAAGAGCTAAAAAATAATAAAGCTCCAGGACATGATGGTATAATTGCCGAGCTTTTGAAAACAAGCAAGACATTAACAATCCCTGTACTAACAGAGCTATTTAATAGATGTCTCCATAATAGCAAGATCCCTAAAGACTGGAACGAGAGTCTAGTAATACTCGTACACAAAAAAGGGGACAAATGTGATCTGCAGACTTATAGACCTATATCGTTGCTCAGTCAAGTATACAAATTATTTATGAGAATTATTAACAACCGGTTGACCTGCAAAATGGACAATTACTAACCGGTTGAACAGGCTGGCTTCCGCAAAAGGATATAGTACATCAGACCATCTGCTAACAATGAGAACAATGATAGAGAAGGCCAATGAATACCAAATACCTGTATTTATTGCCTTCGTCGACTATGAAAAGGCGTTTGATAGTATCGAAATGTGGACCATAGAAGAAGCTATTAATAATTGTAGAATAGATTCGAGATATAGGCAACTAATACATAATATATATGAAAATGCAACTATGATAGTACAACTAGACGAAAATACAAACCCCATCCCTATTAAGACAGGACTGAGACAAGGAGATGTAATATCGCCAAAGCTTTTCAACCTAGCCCTAGAAGACGTCTTCAAAACTACAAATTGGTCAACCTATGGCATTAATGATAATGGCAGCAAGTTAAACCACCTCAGATTCGCTGACGACATAGTGATTATAGCGAGCACATTCGAGGAACTGTAAATTATGATGGAGGAACTAGCAGGCAGCTCTCAATACGTCGGCCTAAAAATGAATATGAAAAAAAAAAAAAACAAAAATAATGACAAATATGTTGCTCAGGATAGAGACCGATGGAAGGAGTTGGGAGAGGCCTATGTCCAAACATGGACGAGAGAAGGCTAAGAAGAAGAAAGAAAAGTTCAACATTGTACTTTTAATCTGACTCTAAGCATGCTCTATAATTTTCTTAGTACTGTACTCGGTCTCTTGATTATTTTGGACTTTACTCATCTGCTCATTGTATTTGTCGACGATAATTCAATAATTTGTCTCGTCTTTTAAAATTGATACATTCGTTCTTCTTAAAAATGTTCTTTTTAAAGTTCTTTAACCGAACCTGCACTTTACCCGTACAGGGTTGTGATCTAAATTCATATCTGGTCCAGGGTAAGTTTTTTTTTATTTACTAATAATAGTCGCTTCAACCACCTGGGTCATTAGCGACATTAGTTTTAATTAGTGACTACATTATATTAAATTATATAAAGATGTTTCTTTTAGAAATCTAATTAAGTTTTTAGTATTTAAATGTTCACCTAATACTGTTTTTTAAGTCACTGGAAATATTGTTATTTTGTCTGTTAACTGTAGGTATATTTTCCACATTCTGTTAGGAGATGTTTAACAGTAATATTGACTTGACAGTAATCACACACTGGAATGTCTTCTTTACTTATTAGGTGCTTATGAGTAATATTGGTATGACCTAATCGAAGTCGAGAAATTTTGACTTGGTCAGCTCTTTTTAAGTTTACTAGGCGCCACGGTTTCACTGTCGATTTAAATTCTTTTAATTTAGATTCTGATAAGTTCCACTTATTTTGCCACGTACTAATCACTTTTTCTTTGACACTATTATAGCTTGATCATTTTTGGTAGCTTCTCTTGCTTGGAGGTCTGCGTTTTCATTACCTTGTATTCCCGTGTGAGATGGAACCCACATAAATTTGACTTCTGAACCAGATTCTTGTAAGGCAGCAAGTTTTTCTTGATAAGTAAGGCTATAGGGTTCTTAGTATATAGTTGACCGATTGTTGTTAAGGAGTTTAGAGAATCTGTGATAATGACGGAAGAAGAATGTATTGTACTTTTGATATGAATGAGGGCTTGTAATATTGCGTATAATTCTGCTGTGTATATAAAAGTGGCTGGCATTAATGTAAATTGGGAAGAGGAATATGGAGTGACAAATGCTGCTCCTACGTCATTTGCAGATTTGGAGGCATCTGTATAAATGCAAAAGCTTTTCCCGTAAGTCTCGAGTTCCTTTAAACATGACTGTCGAATTACAGTGGGTGATGTATCTGATTTGTTATATTGGAGTAGCGTCGTATTCATTTCGGGAATTATGATTAACCAGGGAGGTGGAGTTTTTACATTTGAAGGAAAGAGGTCAGAAATTTGGAGTTGTAGATCTTTTAAATTTCTTCGAACTCTTTCGTAGAATGGTGGATCGAACCTACTTTTGTTATAAGCTTCTAGGTAATGGTCCGTAAATGCATTTTGAAATACTGTGTGGAATTTGTTGCTAGCGACTGATGCTGCATACGAAAGGCATAAATAATTTCTTCGTAGATTAAGAGGTGGCTCTCTTGTGAGGCATTGGAGATTCTTAACTGGTGTGGTTCTAAATGCACCTATGGCAATGCGAAGTGCTGTGTTCTGAATGACCTCAAGTTGCTTGGTAACATGTTTTTTAGCGGAGGCATACACAATAGCCCAATAATCTATTTTTGATCTAACGAGTGACTTATAAAAAATATTTAATAACGTGGTTTCGTCGGATCCCCATTTTTTATTTGATAATGTTTTCATTACATTTAATCCATTTTGGCAAGACTTTTTTATTTCTAAAATATGTTGTTTCCATGTTAGTTTTTGGTCAAATACCATTCCGAGAAAATTAATTTTTTCTGAGAATTTGAGCGGCTCGCCATACAGTTTTAAAGATGTTCTCTGTGACCGGTGCCTTCTTGAGAAAAGCATGCATTTTGTTTTTAGTGGGGAGAATTGCACGCCTACTGACATTAACCATATCTCTAATTTATAAATAGATTCTTGTAAGTGTTTTTGAGTCATTCTCATATTCTTGTCCTTTGCAAATAGAACCAGATCGTCGGCATATAGTCTTCCCTTAACTAGCGGGGAGCAGTGATCCAGTATATCGTTGATAGCAACGAGAAAAAGAGTTGCGCTCATAACTGACCCATGAGGTGTTCCGTTTTTCTGAATTTTTTTTGATGAAGTGGAATTATCGGCGCAAACAGAGAAAGCTCTTGACTGAAGAAAGTTTTCTATGAATCTTAGCATATTACCCTTGATTCCCATTTGTGTAATTTTGATATAATATTAAATCTCCAAACCGTGTCGTATGCCTTGGTGATATCGAAGAATACTGCGATGGTCTCTTGATTATTTGCAAAACCTTCGTGTATCTCTGACTCTAAATCTACTAAGTTGTCTACGCATGATCTATTTTGACGGAAGCCACTTTGCTGAGGAATTAAAAGTTTTTCTTGTTCTAAGTACCACAACAGTCTTTTGGTTATAATTTTTTCTAGAACTTTGCATGCTACATTAGTGAGTGATATAGGACGGTACGAATCTATATTTGTTCTGTCTTTGTTGGGTTTGATCAGGACAAACCTGATTTGTCCAAATAAAATTGTACAATTTTAATAGCCAAGACCTTCCATTTTCTGGTAGGTTTAACAAAAAAATTAATGGTATACCGTCTGGACCTGGAGCGGAATTTTTACTTGACATTAGGGCATCCTTGAGTTCTTGCATTGTAATCGGTATATTAAGTATATTATACTCGTGAGAGTGGTACTTCAACTTTGTTTTCTCTGCGCTTTTTTTCTTAAGCTTAAAGTCGGGTGGATAGTTATCGTTACTTGAATTGGTCTCAAATTCACTGGCGAATAGTTCAGCAATTTCATTTCGGTCGGTTATAATTTTGTTATCTTTTGCTAGGAAAGGTATTTTGTTTGAACATTTTTTTCCAGATATTTTTCTCATATTTTGTCACACTTTACTTGCTGGGGTAGAACTATTTATGCTTGAAATAAATTTTTGCCATGACGTTTTCCTGCATTTTTTAAGAATATATCTAGCTTCTGCTCGACGTCTTTTGTATCCTGCCATAGTGTCATTGGTTTTATGATGCTTAAACCTATTGAAAGCTCTTTTATATGTTTTTACGGCTTCTTTGCATTCTGAGGACCACCATGGTAAAGGTTTATGATATTTTAGTGTTTTTGTTTTTCCAATATGATTTTTCTGCTACTTTGTTGATTATTGATATGAAGGTATCTGGGTCTTTATCTATGTCATTAAGAGTAACATCTTTTATGTTGTTTATTTCATTTTGTACATATTTTGTAAAATTTTCCCAGTTTGCATTTTTAATATTCCATTTTGATGCATTAGTAGCAGTACTGGAGTCTTTTTGTTGTGGAAACGCAATTTTAATGGGGTAGTGATCACTTCCTTATAGGTACGGAATAACGTCCCATTCTAGAGTTGGGGATACAGGGTAAGTTTTAATGCTGCGAATGATATTCCTATATCTTTGTGGTACTAGAAATAATGAATTTGGTTTCTGATTGGGTGATCTAATGTATCTTGTGGATATCTTCATGTATAAAGACTTTTTAAAGAAACCAGGCTGCTGAAACCACATTTTAGAAAAGAACATTGAGTTTGAGTTTGAGTTATTCGGTATTACTCCCAGCTGTATCATCATTGCTCTGTCAAAAAGTAGTACAAAGTTGAGGGTCGAGTAAGCTGTTTTAGTTTTTCCGTTAGGAATAACGGAATTTTTTATTACTGCAGAAATAAAACAAAATAAAGAGAAAATAAATAAATTTTTACATAAAGGACATTTTTACATTATTTTAAATTATCTTCTGAGATACTTTGATCTAATCATCTTAGGTATAGTGTCTCACAATGATTTGCCATTTTTTTAATTAGTAATTTCTTATTTTAGCTGTGTATCGAAACAAACCCTATGCAGCAAAAGTAATCATAGCATGGGGTATTATAACAGGCATCGTATGTCTTTTGGATCTCGTGACCTCATGTCTTCTTCTTAAAAATTACATGAAGTGTACAGATTTGGTCTGTCGGACAGCTGCGGGTATTGTTTTAACCTTGGGCGCCCGCGGATACACATTGTTGCCCTTGAATTGGTCTTTGGTTTACTACCAACTTAAAACTGGAATACAGGTAAGAAAGAGTAACAATTTGTTTAATCAATGGCCTTTGTTCAATTTTTCACATGCGAAGAACCATGTTATATTTTTCGTTGTATTAATTCCTATAATTTCAACCTCAATATTGAAAATTATTATCTTTATACAATCCTTAGTAATAATTAATACTCCCACTCTAACCCAACCCTCAAGAAATACAGATATATCTTAGAACAGGAGTGCTCAAACTTGAACTGCTGGCGATCTACCTCAATATTTTTAGACTACTTACGATCGACTCTGAGAGAAAGCAAGTGTGTGTGATGCAGGGTTGTCGTACATACACGATACACCCTACCTACCTAGGTAGGGCGTACCGTAGCATATATAGATATGAGCTTTCTGCACAATATAGGTACATTATTTTAGTCAAGGTTTGGGTTAGGTTTAGTTAGGTTCTTCTCTACAATATCAATGAAAAAACTCATAGTTATTTAAAATTGCGAGTTTATTTGTTGTTACAAAACAAAAGAGTTACATATGGTGTTAAACTTAACTAAGGAGTGGCTTTGGATGTTGAAGCGTGGCACTGCATGTCCTCAGCATACTTTTCATAAGATGGTACGTAACCACTGAGTGCTAATCGCAAGCATGATGTCATATGATCGTCAGTTAGTCGATTGCGATATTTTGACCTAATTATCTTCATTTCAGAAAATGCAGACTCGCACAAGTAAGTTGACCCAAAAAATGCCGTCAGTTGAAGGGCGATTTGCCTACATTCATGAGTTTCATGAGAACATAAGTTCATATTAAACTGACTTGCTATTTCAGTAGCTAATTCCTCAATGTTTTTACATGAAAAAGGATAACTCATAAATGATGCTATATTTTCCAATTTACTGCAATCATAAAAACGCATTTCGAATTGTCCCAAAATATTTGATAATTCAGCCTCATACGTATCATAATTCAACTGAGGAATCCTTGCTTTCAAAGACGGAAAATGTTTCAGATCCTTTCTTTTCAGTTGATCTATCATAAGTTGCAATTTACTTTTGAATGCGTTTACTGCGCTAATCATCTCAATAATAGTTTTTCCTTTACCTTGAAGCTCCAAGTTAACGGTGTTTAAGTGCATTGTGATGTCAGTCAAAAATGCCAAATCATTTAGCCATTTTTCGTTTTTCAAAATCTGAGTGTCATCACCTCTTTCGTCTAGAAAAGCTGTTATTTCGGGCAATAATTCTTGAAACCTTTCTAGGAATTTTCCGCGACTCAACCACCTGACGTCCGTGTGAAGAACTAAATCAGTGTGTTCAGCTGACTCCCTATCTTCCAACTGCAACTGAAAGAGCCGCCGTTGCAAGCTACGTGCACGGATGGAATTCACAATTTTTGTTGCAATGCCCATAATTTCCTCCGTGTTTAAAACTTTTGAACACAAAACTTGTTGATGTATAATGCAATGGAATGAAAAAAATGAAGGGAATTCTTCATTAGCTCGACACAATGCCACAAAACCGTTTTTGTTTCCAGTCATTGCTGGTGCTCCATCGGTTGTAATGCACATTAATTTATATATTGGTAGCTCGTAGTTTTTTACAAAATTTAAGAAAACGTCATATATATCTTCGCCACGGGTCTTCCCCTTCAGAGGAATGATTGTCAAAAATTCTTCCTTAGCCAACATGTCATTGAATACCATCCGAATAAAAATACACAGCTGGGCAGTGTCTGTCATATCGATGGATTCGTCGAACTGTAAAGAAAAGTATGTACATTCCATGATATCATGTTTTAGTTTATCTGCGATGTCTTGACTCATGACTTCAATACGCCTTGTGACAGTCGGACGAGATAACTGAAGTTCTCTAATAGCAGACATGATTTCTGTTTTATTTTTAAAATCTCCAAATAAAGTCTCACCCGCTTCAATAAATGCTTCCTTCACCACCGATCCATCTTCAAATGGTTTCTTGTGTTTCGCCAAAATATGAGATATTTTAAATGACGCGATCGTAGCAGCTTTTGATTGTTTGGCTGGTCTTGTGAACATGGATTGTTCTTTTTTCAAACAAGATATCAAATCACTTACTTTTCGTTTTCTTAATTCACTCTGTGGCGGAAAATCCTTTTCATAGTTTTTATGAACCGTTTTATGATGCCTCTCTAAGTTACCACGCTTAGGTATTGCAACTGACGCACGACAAATAACACAAATGCACTTATCCTTCACCATAGAAAAGAAAAATTCTTCCTCCCAATCCTTATTAAAATGATACGTTTTAGATTTCTTCACTGCACTCATTTTCCACTATTTAATAATAAACTTTGTATCGACGTAGGATCGCTATCAAGTTACAATTCAGAATAACTCCAATTCCTGCAGGCGCAACATTTATATCGGCGTGAACGAAAGTCTCGAATGTTCCCGTCAAACGCGCCGCCCGAAACTAGACTGTACTGTCTCTCGTCTAGAAACAACACGGCTTTTCTTTGACAAGTGCCGCGCGTTCCTTTGATAAAGCCACCTTTTGCCGCAAGCTGTGTTATTTTATTACGTAATACATTTTTGTAGTTGATAGAATATCATCCCAAATTTGATTAATAATTATAATAAATATTGAATTAATAAAATAATTAGTTAATATATGTAAATATAAAATATGCTGTGTGGACAGTATTTGTTGTCCCCACTTCTTTGAATTGCAATGATGCTTAGTCAAGCATTCTATGTATTTGTATAGTTCAGTATTAATAAAAACGTTTAACTCTGCTGACAGTAGTTTAGTTACCTACCTACTTATTAAAATTTTTTTTCTTCTCGAGATCTACCCTAAAAGCACTCGCGATCGACCAGTCGATCGCGATCGACCGTTTGAGCACCCCTGTCTTAGAAAATGAAAAATAAACCCTCTCTCGACTGTTTGACTCGAGGTAGCAACAGACATTTTTCACTTGGCTCTACGTGTGTCTCAAAAACAAATGTTTTGACATATCTCTCTAATTATTGTTACGGTAGCAACGAGACGAAAATACCGCGAATTCTTCTCTGCTGATGAATCGCGTAGACAAAAGACGAAGTGTGCTCTCAACTGCCCAGGCTGTATAGGAAAAAGTGCTCTCTAATCCTGTAATTTATGTAATGTGGCTTAGGTTATAAAACGCAACCTCAGGAGCAATGCCCCAGTTCATTCAACAAACAATTTTTGGTTATTGTGTATTTATAAGCGTTTATAGGTATAAAATACGTATTTTTGAGTTTTTTTTTTCATTTTTTGCCTAAAGTAAGTATTGTAATGGGTAATTTCTGTATAGATTATGAAAGTACTCTAAAAGATCTTCAATTTGAGCCGATATACGTTCAATTTAATTTATTTGTTATTGCAAAAATGACGAATAAAAATCAAAATTAAAAAAACGTAATATTTATTGCAAAATTGCTTTTTTATTTATTTCAAATGTATGACATTCACGAATGAGCCGTAGTATGCCTAATAGATCACTTAATTTGTTGCTGATATACGTTAATTAGTTTATCCCACGACCTTCAACTTTGAATGCTCATAGGATTCCCAAAAACAATGGTAGAGGGCTAATTCTTGTTTCATTCTCCTGTGAATTCGTCTCCATTCTTCTGTGAAAAAAATGGTTTAATTTCCTTAACATTTAGAAATCCCTTCTTAAATTCCTCATGCAGTTTCTTCAGTTGTTAAGCGAACCTTTGTAAGTTTTCTTCCGAGACAGGGGTCATACTGCTCATTTTGGGAAAATGGGTGAGTTTATTTTTCTCTACACATCTGGAAAATAATTTAAGTAGCAGTTTGAAGGATTTTAAATGTCCTCAAAGCTCGTATAAGAATTAACTCTTGAATTGAAGTGTGACAGCAGATATGTAAAAAATGCGAATTCAGGAAGCAAATTTTAGTCAGACATGATCTTAGAGTCGTCCCATTTGCCTTGCTCTATCAAAAATTCCTGAATCTCTTTTCTTAAATTCCATACTCTCCCAACTGTGTTAACGTAACTTAACCATCCAACTTTAGTATGGTAGAGAAGATCAGAAAATTAGCTTTTGGTGGATTTTAAAGACTCTTGGAATTGACTATGCATTAAAACTCGTGAACGTCTTATATTTATAAGTTTAACAACTACGCCCAATACAGGTTGTATGTTAAGAGCTGCTTTAGACAACACACCCTGGTGTATTATATATTATATACAAAATATTCCCATATACCCCACATTCATATTGGGTGTTCCATCCTTGGTTATATTACATAATTTTTTTTAGGCAAATTTAACTTTGAAATACCGCCAAAACAAGAATCATAAAAATTTTTTCCTGTAATATTTCCTTTCAGTAATTGCAAGTTTGCTAATTCTTCCCTAATATTGAACTTTTGGTCAATTTCTCTAATAAAAATCAGCAATTGGGCAGTATCGCTTACGTCTGTGCTCTCGTCCTTGGTTATTGAAAAGTATTCAAAGCTTTTTGCCGTTTTGAAGCTAAGCTTCTATACTGGCGTTGTATTACTTTTTTCTCTATAGTAAAATGCTAAGAAAGACAAGCGTCACGGAACTAGCGTCACAAGAAAGCGTCACGTGTAGCGTTACGAAATAGCGGTTCTTCACATCGATTTACTACTCTCGATTAATTCGTTTCTAGTCATCATGGATTTATTCTAAGCAGTTTTAAAAAATTACTAACAAAATACAGATATTTGAAAATAAAATTGAAAATACTATAATGATTTTATTAGTCCTAATTTATTGTCTTTATTCTAATTTATTGTCTTTATTCTAATTTATTAAAACTCACGATAATTTATCAAAAGTCTTTATTTTATATTAATTTATTTTACACTTAATAATTACAAATTTATTTGCGTTCGAACAATTAAACGCGAGATCGCGATCTTCTTGTTAACTAACTGCTCAATGAATATCTTCCGTTATTTATATGAAACCAGCTGGTAAACAGAATGTTGTAGAAAATACGATGCCGTTCTCGACGTAGACACAGCGGCAACTGGTCTCAAAACTGGTATGTTTTTCATCGGCTCGTCCCCAGAAAGTTCGATTGTTGTTTGTTTAGCGAAGGGAACCCAAAGGGTGCCAGGTAGATTTTTGACCTAGAAATTACGAGAATCAATAAAAAAGAATTAGTCATAAAATATTTACAGTTCTATATGCCATTTAAAATCGTAACAAGAACTTGGACAGACAAAATAACAAATAGTGTAGTTCTTCCAAAAATGAACAAAGAACGGGAGCTGTTGATCACCATCAAGAGAAGAAAGCTGGAATATCTTGGTCATGTGATGAGAGAGAAAAAGTACCGAATGCTCCAGTTAATTATCTAAGGAAAGATTCAGGGCAAACGAAGCGTGGGGAGACGACGTATATCTTGGCTGCGCAATTTAAGAGACTGGTTCCAGTGATTCCAACAGCTTTAAAAATAAGAATAGCAATAATGATTGCCAAGCTCCGTAGCTGAGAGGGCAATTGAAGAAGAAGAAGAATAACAAAATACAGACATTAAATGAGTAGTGAAAAATTAAAAGAATATTTGTCAATAAAAAATTCGATTCGCATCTTTTTATGTCGTTATGCATTCGCATACTGTACCATCTTTTTTTTCCAACTGTGACGATAACTGTACAGCCATACTGTCAATTCGATCGGTTATCGTCCTTCGGGATAAAGCTAAAGACTGAAACCCGTACTCATTTCTGGACAAATGATGTTGCTTACAGCTACCATGCATTATTTTACGAATTCACCAACCGATAAAGTTTTGTTACTTTTATCAATTTTGTAAGCTACAGTTACATCCGCTAAGTTTTGTTACTTTGATCAATTTTATAACCTACAGTTAGAAGCTAACTTGCCAATGCTGCAGCCTGTGAGAATCAGATTGCTTCACAAAAATTTGTTTAGCTGCCCACGTAACTTTTTTTTGCCTTTCAACAAAAGACTTTCTCGTTGCCTCTGTGATATGCTTGTGTAGAGACAAACTTAAATCTTTAAAAATTGCAACTTATTCATTACAAATGAGGCACACTGTTTTGTCTTTGAATTCTGTGAAAAAATATTTCCATGATCATTTTTAGTTAAAAACTCGACACTTAGAATCAACTTTGCGTTTTTTCGTTGTCATTATTTTTGTCGTCATCAAATATTAATTAACAAGCGAATAATTAAGCCAAATTCCAGCTTAATCCGTTGAAGGTATCTGCCTCAGAATTGTGTTGCAACATTTTACCTCAACAACAGATACATTCGTTGCAAGTTAAATAAAAACTTATGTAATTAAATTTTCTTCGCGAACAGAAGATTCGTGGGCCCTAGTTTCCTTATCCCTGTTCTAGAAACAAAGAAAACAGAGTAAACATAACCTAACAAAATCAAAACAAAAATTATCGAAAAAAATCGAACAAATAGTTTTGAAATTTTTTGGTCACTTTTTTATGTAGCGTCATTTTTAATAGTTGTTTTTAAAATATTTTTAACAAAAAAAGTATTTTTGTAAACTGATACACTTAAAAGAATGTTTTGTTTCAGTATACAGTTCGTAAGAAGGCAAACAATGCAGTTTTGTAAGTATGAAATGCATAATCAAATGATATGATGATAAGTGTTAATTAGGTGTTAGGTGTTAATTTTTCAATAATGGTGTTACAGGTAAGCGCTAAATATGTCAACACTGACAATTCTAAATCACCACGTTAAGCGTCATGATCGAATAAAAAACGGACCAGACGGCCGACACTCAACGCTAACTGGCACTTATTTAAATATTACTTTTTTTTGCCTTTGGAAGCTGGGCTCATTTAGCCAGCAACATTTCTTAAAATTAACGTCTAGCCAAACTTATCATACACCAAGACTATTACTAACCTAATTTAACAATCAAGGAAAGGGAAGGGAAAAAGCTTTTCACACCCAGGGTCAAGATTTCAAAACAGAAAATCTCCCGAGATTAAGCGAACTCGATTCAAACGACAGTATCTACACTTGTTGTATCCAAATTGAAATGAGGCTATCACATACAGCAAACACAAGATCAACAGAGACGCAAATATCAAAGCAGACTATAACCGCCTCTTTGCTAGAATTAAGAGGAAGATATCTAGTCTACGAGATCTCACCGATAGGAAGGTGCTACCTCTGCACTAGATTACAGAGAAGCTAGTAAATTCTGGAATACATTCAAAACCCTAACAATACAAAAACAGACCAAATAGTCCCTTCTGTTCGTCATTCAAGAAGAAGCATTCCGAAACTCTCTTTAATAACAACTTTCAAACTCCAGACAACCCCTTTCACAACTTTGATTTCATATTTTAACTCAACATCTCATTCTGGATTTATATTTACAGTTTCTGGTGTAACTTCGCTGTTTCAACTACTTTTCTCTATTCTTTCCTCTCTTTGATTGTCCTTTCTATATTTCTAATTTCCTATCTATTTCTAATTTGACTCACCTATTCTTGTATTTCGTTATTCATCCATTGTCTTACATCCTCTTCGTTTTTTTCCTTTTTGGCCCCAGTATTTTTCTGATAATGTTCCTCTCAAAAGCTTTCAATTGTCATTTTTTTTGCTGTTAATGTAAATGTTTCTGCAGCATACAATACTATTGGTCTTATGGTCGGTTTTTTAGATTTTCATTTTTGTGTTTTTTGGCTTATCTTCTTTTTTGTATTTCTATGAAACGCTGTATTTCCAGCTTGAATTCTTTTCGTGTATACACTTGTATTTCTTTTGTTGACTAGTACTCCCAAATATTTGAATGTTTCAATCTCTTCGAAGCTGTGTGCATCTATTGTCAGTTCCTGTATTTTTTTATTTATTTCCAGTCCTCTTAGTTTGGCTTCGTTTTCTAATTCTTGGAAGGATTTCTTTATGCCCTTTTTATCTGTTGCTACTATGGTACTTCGGTTTTCGTTGCATTGGGCCGTAGCATCCATTTGCGAAAGTATTCTCCCATAATGACAAGGTCATCCGTTAGTATTGTTTCTGTAATATTCATGTTATTATGTATTGCTGAAATAGCCCAGTCATTAGCGTAGCCAAATTTCTGCGAAGTTATCACAGGTAAGTCCGCGATGTATAACTTAAACAGTAAGGCTTCCCTAAACAGATCCCTGTGGCAGTCCATTTCTGAGCTTTATTTGGGCACTTTTAAAGTTACCCATTGTGACTTGAATCTATCGATGAGCATGCTATCAATGAGTTTAGTTATCTTTTGACACGGGTTGGCACAGATTAGTTTGCAGATTAACAGCTGCAGTTAGGTCTGAACCCTGCTTGCTTAAGAGGTATCACTTTAAATATTTTTCTACTAATTATGTTGTAGATTAAGCGTTTTAACAGTGTATAGACAGCTCAGCAATGCAATTGGTCGGTAGCTTTGAGGTTGATCATTTGCCTTTCCTGGTAGGAGAGTAAGGATTTCTTCTGGTTTTAAAACTTCTACTTCTTCTTCAGATGCAAATCCACTAATGGATGTTAGCGATCACATTTTCCATTAATTCTCTATTTCTTGCAATATGTATCAAAGATTGTATGTCGTCAATCCCTGTCCATTGCCTTATGTTTCGGAGCCAGGACATTTTCTTGCGTCCCATTCCTCTCTTGCCTTCAATTTTACCCTCGATTATAAGTTGGAGGAACTGGTATTTTTCATTTCGCATGATGTGACCTAGATACGCCGTTTTCCTTTTCTTGATGGTTTCGAAAAGTTGGCGTTCGTGGTTTATTCTTTTAAGGACATCTATATTTGTGATTTTCGTTGTCCATGGTATTCTTAGGATACGGCAATAAAGCCACATTTCGAACGCTTTTAATCTGTTTATATCCCTCGATTTGAGTGTCCAGCCCTCTACGCCATATAGCAGCACTGACCATACGTAGCACTTAGTAAACCTTAGTCTCAGTTGAAGATCGAACTCTGAACAAGTCAGTATCTTCTTGAATTTTACGAAAGCTTGTCGAGCTTGCTCAATGCGACATTTTACTTCCCTGTCCGATGCCCAGTCTTCAAAAAGCCACGATCCCAGGTATTTAAATTTACTCACTCTTTCAATGTACTAGTATTCAGTGTTATGGTGGAGTTTTCAAGTGCATCCAAGTTTCTGGAGATGATCATGAATTTGGTCTTTTGGTATTAATCTCTAATCCCATTCGCTTACTGTATTCTCCGATTATAGTGACAAGTTGTTGAAGATCGACTATGTTGTCACAAATTAAGACACCATTTATCAGCATATCGTATGTTGTTGATCAATACTCCATTCACCTTGATTCCCATCTCTGCATCCTCCAAAGACTCTTGAAATATGGCTTCCGAATAAATGTTAAATAAAAGAGGGGAAAGCACACATCCTTGTCGAAACGCCTCTTCTTATATATATATATTATATATATAAATATATATATATATATATATATATATATATATATATATATAATATGGGTTTGGATATAGAATTGTCTTGGTTTTAAAACATCTGTATAGAAATCAGCCAGCCGCTTCCTACCATATTTGCCACAGTGGAGTAAAATTTCTGGATGGATTTTATCGGAGCCGGGTGTCTTTCCAGACTTAATTTTTAATACTGCTGAAATAATTTATTTTGGAGTAAAATTTTCAGAGTATTCAGATGTAGGCGGGCATGCAGACTTTAGTATTTTTAGTTCTTGTTTTACTTTGGTGGTATTATTACGATCTCTAGGTGCTCTTGAGTTTGCTACAATGTGGAGGCCAATCTATTGAGAGGTATTGGTACTTTGCCTCTAGTTGTGAGTCTGCTACCTCCAACTTTTCTAAGTAAAGACCATGCTTTTCTGTTTAATTTATCAAAGTCTAATTTTTTACAGTTTCCATCCATTTTTGTCATTTGACTGCAACCAAACTGTGTAGTGTTTTGGCTTTTGTTGTATTCTCCGCTTGATATCGCTTGATATAGCTTGATATCGAAATAAATAGACTGCGCTCCAAATATCCTTCATTGTTAAAAACCAACTCTTTACATCAGGTACATTTCAACCTCACCAACGCTTGGAGAAGACAATGGGAGAGCAACTCACCACAGGAAGCACACCAAATGGCCACTATCGATCTGAAACCGCCAGGCTTTGAACTAACCCACACATGGACAACGTTTAACAGAATAAGAACAAGCAATGGTAGATTACCTAGCCGAAGGCGATTCCCTGGAGTTTTCGATGAGTTCTTGAATGAATGCGACCGAAAATGTTTTACATTATATTAATAATATATTAGATGTTCGTCTGTAATGCTCCATGTAACGTTTTATATTGATTTTTAATTATGTGTTTTTATTGTATGCGATATGATTGAAATAATTTTTAATATTTAAAATCATTTGCTTACAAGGTACAAGTCTGCCGTCAAATAAAACTCTACATGAAAGAGTGGAATAGCGAAATTGAGAAGCACTGAAATTGTAACAGCATACAATTCATCTGCATTGTTCAATAACATTTACTTAATACTGTTTTTTATTTTAGGGATGCGTCAATCATTCCAAAGCCAACGTTACTACATTTAGCAGTCGAGAATACTTATTATTCGCCAAGTCTACAAAGTGAACCTATTGACCTGCCTGGAATTATAAGGGCTGCATCGATGAATTTGGATCAGAAATCTACCAATCATCTAAATCCGTACTCTCGTAGTGTCCCTTCTACGTCTACGAGTATAAATCCTTATTCTAGCAGTATTGTTTCTGACATAGGCAGAAATACTGTCGCAAGCGATTTTTCACCATTTGTAACAGCAGCACCAACAAGATTACCGTTTAGATCAAATCCAATGTCTTAAAACTATTTATTGTACGATTAAATAATTATATTTTGATACTGATACTAGTCTTATCAATATACATTAATATATTTGTCATCCTTTAATCTACAAAACTAAGCTTTTAATTTAAATGTATAAAACAATATTCCTTTGTACAAACCGTATTCCAATACTTTGACGATGACATCATGTTTGTGTACGATGTGAATGTTTGGGATAAAAATTAGCTTTAAGTAAAAATGTCGAGATATATTGAAATTTGAATTTCTTCCTCAAAAGGAGGAAGATCGATCATGTTTTTTTAGTGTGCCAAAATATCAGCTACACAGTCAAAAATTTATTATAAATCCAATTATTCAATCACAAATTAACCCCTTAATTTGTAATCTCACATTATTTTTAACGTCTTAATCTTTTATAGCTTCATCGTGTATAGGTGAGCCATTGTAAAACCGTATCATATAATATTTTAATAATTAGTTCATTTACCTACAACTAAATAAATTGCCGAATAATATATTTTCTAATTGAACTTCCTGTGTCGTAATTACGGCCTAGATTAAATTGTATTGTAAGCAAACTTTGTTAGTATGGTATGATAGAAAGCAATAACCTCTGTGCTGAGGTATGAATTATTTGTGAGATTATAAATTATCGATTTGAGCTCATTTAAGCACAGTTTTATACAAGTAGTTACCTAACGAACATCATATTGCGTATTTACCAGTAGCTGTCAATAAAATCAACATTTTTCTGCATATATTTAACCTTTTATTATAATTACCATCGTCGATCGACAAGAAGCGGACAAAGGGGCATTTACAAATCGATTCGAACCACAAAACTACGTTCGAATCTTTCCATTGGTCCTTCGAGCCAGATTGTATGCCTAGGCACAAAAGCTGTACTTCTCGAAGTAGTAAGTGATATGACAACGGATGCATTTGTAGCCGCATTTAAGAGATTTACTTTAAGAAGGGAACAGTGAAGTCATGTATATAAAGACAATGGAACAAACTTTGTGGGAGCAGCAAACCTATTATTCCAAACTAGTGAGAAAGTGAAGGCATCATTAACAGACTCCTTAACAACATTAGGAACACATCGGCACTTTACACCAGCCTATGGACTACATTTTGGAGGTTTATTGGAAAGTTCTGTTAAAATTATTAAATATCACTTGAAGAGAGTAATTGTGGATAGTTCGTTAACATACGAAGAGCTAAGCACACTGCTAGCTCAACTAGAGGCATGCATGAATTCCCGACCTTTATGCGCTGATACGGAAGATACGACGAACAGAAAAATAATAACACCAGGACACTTTTTAATTGGGAGAGAGTTAATTTCGCCAAATAAGGAGGAAGAGTTGAGCACATATACGAATATACCACAAAAGTGGAGGCAGTTAGAAAAAGCAAAAAGAGATTTTTGGAACAGTTGGAGACATGACTACTTGTCAAATCTACAACGGCGATATAAGTGGCAAAAACCCGTTACAAACCTAGAAAAAGAAGAAGTGGTGATAATAAAGGAGGATGACACCTCGCCGGGGAAATGGCCACTAGCGAAGATAATCAAAACACATCCTGGAGCAACAAGAGTCGCAATTGTTCAAAAAGCGAACGGAAAAGTAAGCACTCGTCCAATACACAAGTTAATACCAATAGTACGAGAGCCCACCTCACGAAAGACAAATAGTGCACGTAGTATGTGGAGAAAATGTATGTTTTGCATCCTATTTTGAGTATTTTTGAAGCCATCAAATGCAGATTTGTACAAAATCAACGTAAACAAACGATAGATTCAATGGTAAAAACGCTGGAAGATATGTGTAAGACAAGCAATATAATAAATTGTGATTCACTATCGAGCCAGCTAAAAGATGAACAAGAACGAGCAAAAATGATAAGTCGAGCTTTAGATCTGGAAGTTAAAAGAAAACCGAAGAGGGGTCTTCAAGGAACAGTTCTCACATCAGTATTTGGGGTAAATTATGAAGTATACAGGGGCATAGATTCCTTGGACGAAAATCAGAAGTTTGTAACAGCAGACGAAGCTAATGTTACAAACAATAGGCTTGATTAACTCTACAAAAGAAAGAATAAACGGACATTTAAATAGGTTCCGAGAAGCACTGATGAACGGAACTAAGGAAATGTCTAAGGGGCTAAGTGACGTCTCATATAGAGTTGACACTTAGAGAAAGAGTACATATAACTTAAAGTGGAAACGACTTAACCGTGCAATGGAATATGCAAAAGAATATGCGAACACACACGAAAAAATATTAAATCTTCATTACAATCATGGACACTTCATAGATATTATAAAACCTGGACAAATAGAGTCAATCATTTCGAATGCTACAAGGTTCCTTCCACAAGGAGTAGATATAAGAAGGCAGCCAATAATAGACACGGTCGTACAAAATGAAGGAGACATCATCATTATTGGCTATTTCCTAATAATTGACAACACTAATACAACCTACTAAGAGTCACAGCTCTTCCATTGTCGGTGAGAGGTGGTATTGTGCGCTCGTTGTTGGTCCCAAGGAATCTACTTGTAGTAGATTACAATAACTTACATTATTTTAAAGTGATATATGAAGATAAAGGAAGGTGTATAGAACTAAACAAAGGAGAGTTGGCATGTTCACCAATGGGAATCATTAATATGGATACTCAGCCAAACTGTGTCTTAAATGAATTATATGATAGAACTACCAATACCACTTGCAATATAATAAAATACACGATAAAGGAAGCCAGTTGGTTGAAAATGAGCACATTGAACCTATGGTTAGTCATTCCACCATACGCTATAAATTTAGCTATAATGTGCGATGGTTCTCGATCTGAACATACAATCGATCACACGAGTTTTATAAAACTGTCACCAAATGCGTTGCTCAGACTCAAAACATAACATTACTCACATCCAGTAACGGATTGGAAACAGCAATTGGAAGCTATTTAAAGACTCCCGTCAGTCCCATTGAATAGCTTATGCAGAGGCCAATCAGAAGGCAGAACAACATTCCTAAACATAATATAGATATTCGGGGAGATGAGTTGCCAAATATTGTACTTGTAGGCATAGCAGTTTGACCAAGATATATCCGAACACACGTGGAAAACCATTGGTAAACATCAGTGGATTCCTCATTTAACCACGGGATTAGTCACTTTATTCATTGTTATGTTGATTGTCATTACATGGAAGGTAGTCAGATATTTTCGAAACTCCAAGAGAGCCTGAAAACAAAGGCATCAAGGTTCTTGCATCGAACCTCATTCAGCGCCTCGAAGATATACTTTATCACAACCAAATTTAAGTAGTACTTTAAAGAAAGCCCCTCCTAGATCAGTTTCACTTAATGAGCTTAGATTTGAATTTGAGATAATTCGGTTAAACAAAATTTTCTGAAAGAACGCGGCTTATATTAAATAATATAATAATATATTATTTATGGATAATAAAAAGTAACTAGACAACTTAATAATAGATAATGTCGCCTACCGTGTAAACAAAATACCGAAATATTTAGAATAACGAAGTAATGATATGCAGAGTTTTGGAATACGGAGATTCCATATTTGATATTTGCAATGTTGCCAGATTTTCCGTTTCTCTTATAATATATTAGTAACTTTGGTTTTTTAAATGCATCACCCTGTATATATAGTCATTATTGGAATCTCCTATTCAATACGAGTTCAAACATATATAAATTTTTTAATACTAATTATTTTCAACTACATGAAAACGTAACAATTGATAGATTAGAACATTTTTTAACAATAGTTACGTTATTAAGTGGTCAAAATGTGCTCAATTTATGAGTTGACAGTACACTAATCGATGGTAGAATGCGTCTTTCACATTTCTCCATGATGGTCTAGAAACAATTCGAGATTCATTGATAATTCGTTGCCTTAGCGCTGCAAGACTTGCTGGTTAAGTTTTGTAAACTGAATTTTTCAAGTATCCAATAAAAATAATCTTTATGATTGAAATCGGGTGAACGTGAAGGCCATTCAATTCTACCTTGTCTACCAATTTATCGTCCGGGAAATATCTCCTCCAAATAACGCCAAACATTTACACCAACTATCTGACGTTAAATTTCTTTCGATAAAAAATGGCCCAATTGACTGAGTACCTACTATACCTGACGATACATTTAATTTTTGTGGTCTTTGAGTATGGTTTTCACGAATTCAGTGTGAATTTGCGTCACTCCAGTACCTTAAATTGTGTCGATTTACACTTCCACACAGTGTAAAGATTGCTTCATCGGAAAACATATTCTGTTAACGAAATTTTAATAATTTTCAATTTTATCCATCATTACCTCTTCTTCTTCTGGTTTCTATCCGTTTCGGATGTTGGAAATCATATTATCAATCATAACCTTGCTCACTGCGGCTCGAAACAGCTCCGTTGAGGTTTTTTTAAACCATGTTCTTAAATTCAGCAGCCATGATATTCTCCTTCTACCAGGTCCTCGCTTACCATTGACTTTACCTTGCTATATAGACTGTAGCAGGGAGTAACGGTGGTCATTTCTCATAACGTGTCCCAGATATTGCAATTTTATGCGTTTGATTGTAAACACAATCTCTAGTTCCTTCTTCATTTTTCCTAGAACTTCCTTGTTCGTGATCCTTGCTGTCCATGATATTCTCAGCATTCTTCTATAAAGCCACATCTCAAATGCTTCAAGTTTTTTAATAGTGGTGTCTGTAAGCGTCCATGCCTCCGCCCCGTACAACAACACAGAGAAAACATAGCATCTCAAATGTCTCATTTTTGTATCAAGGGATATGTTGTGACTTTTGAAGATGGCGCTCATTTTGTTAAAGACCGTTCTTGCCTTTCCCATGTGGCACTTTATTTCCTGTAAATTGCTTCACTGTTCGTTAATAATAGTTCCCAGGTAACAATATTGTTTTACTGGCTCTATCTGTGTCCCATTAATGTATAGATGAGCCCTGTTTATAGCCTCCTTGCTGATAATCATTTGTTTCGTTTTTTGGGTATTAATGTTTAGTCCGTACTGTTGACTTTACTCGTTTATTCTGTCCATTAGCCTCTGAAGTCCCTCTAAACTATCTGCTATCACCATGGTGACGTCGGCATATCTAACATTGTTTACTCTTTCACCATTTAGAAGGATGCCTTCGTCTATTCCGTAAAACATTATCATTATCTCAGTAAACTCTAATCTAAGATCGAAGTCATCTTCACTTAATTCTTTCAATAAATTTATTTTGTATGGTTTAAACTTATTTTTACTTAATATACATAAGACTGAAGAACGTCCTACATCATGTACTTGTGCAACCCTGCCTGAGGATGTATGTGGATATTCAACAAAACTTTTCTCTTTCCATCTATCTTTACCTTCGTCAGATTTCTCAAATCGCTTTACAGTTTTTTGTACCGTCGCCTTATGAATAGGAGAACGGTTTAGAGAACGGCATTTTAGAGAAGCAATTTAAATTGCAGAACTTTTCGAAACATAACTACTGTCAGTTTTCGATTATAATGTAAATCGTGAACAAATGTCAATATCACAGCATTCTACATTTAAATATTTAAATTTATTAAAATCTACATATTTTGCACTATTTTATGTATTTAAGACCTTCCAGACTACATACAATCATAAGTTTTACATATTTTTGAACTCGCATTGAATAGTTGAACTCGTATGAAATTCACACTGAATGCATGAAAACCATACCAGCCCACAAAAATTAAATGTATGATCAGGTATGGTAGGTATTTAGTCAATTGGGTCATCGAAGGAAATTTAACGTCAGATAGTTGGTGTAAATGTTCGGCGTTATTTAGATGAGATATTTTCCGTACTTATCGTATGGATTGTTGGTAGACAGGTAGAATTGAATGGCCTCCACGTTCACCCGATTTCAATCCTAAAGATTATTTTTATTAGGGATACTTGAAAAATTCAGTTTACAAACTTAACCAGCCAAGTCTTGCAGAGCAAAGGCAACGAATTATCGATTAATCTCAAATAATTTCTAGACAATCATGGAGAAATGTGGTAGACGCATTCTACCATCGATTAGGGTACTGTCAACTCACAAATTGAGCACGTTTTGAACACTTAGTAACGTAACTATTGTTAAAAAATGGTCTAATCTATCAATTGTTACGTTTTAATGTAGTTGAAAATAATTAGTATCAAAAAATTTATTGAAACAATTAGGTGTTGGCAGACTTCTGTTTTATGTATTTAAGACCTTCCAGACTATAAAAAATCATAAGTGTTACATATAGTTGAACTTGTATTGAATAGAAGATTGTAATAATGACTCAATATACAGGGTGATTCATTTGAAAAACCAAAGTTACTAATAATATCAGAGAAACGGCAAATCTGGCAACATTGGAAATATCAAATATGGAATCTCCGTATCCCAAAATAGGTGTAGGCCTCAAATTTTGTACAATTATAACTAGCAATTTTCCAGACTTTTGGGCCACTCTGTATAATGCTAGGTTTGTTAATAGATACTTAGGGTATTGGATAGAAACGGGCATAAAGATAACTAGTAGTACTTAAAAAAAAGAGGTTAGTCTTCGTAAGTGGGTATATTTATTTAAAAAAAACCCTTAAAAGGGCTACATAAAAAAAACAAACGTTTTCCGACTAGACAGTCCATCATCAGGTTTAAAATTGCTAGGTTAAAATGCCTGAGCCACCAAAAATACATGGGTAAAAACCCTTTAAATTACATATAGTTATAAAAGATTATACATCTTGTTGTTAAAAAATTGTGATGTTCAGTAATTAATTAAATATGACTTCAGGTAACATACATTGCAAAAATTGAGTTCCAGAGCCGGGGAGAAAACCTCTACGCACGGAGAACAGCTGGAAACTAATAGTTTGGGAGTTTACCTAATTTACCTAATTTTGATTGTCCTTTTCCTTTCTTTTTTGGTTCTTGTAGAGCATAAAGGTCTATATCTTTCTCTTTTAGCACTTGAGTTATTTCTAGTTTCCTTGAGTTCATTTATCTAATGTTCCAAGTAGTAATTATCCTCTGGGTTTTGGATGTTTTTCGCTTGTCTTTATTTCTTGCCGTAGTCGTTTTCATAGTATCAATCCGGTTCCGAGGCTGTACATTGTTGCTTTGAGCAGTATTTGTTTTTACGATTGGAAGGTTGTTAACCTTGTCAATCACCCTCCACATTTAATCCGGGCTTGAGACCGGCTGGGTCAATCCACCCCGCAATCACCCCAGGCAGTGTTGAACAGTTAAGCAAAGATGTAAAAATAAAAAATATTTTGTGTTTAAAGCTTCGAAAAAGGATCGTAAGTGTAGAGTTTTAGAAAGATGGTAAAGATGAATAATCTGAAATATTAAAGTGTATGATGACGTTTGGCGTTACTGAAAAAAGACCAAAAAGCAATGAAAATTATAGTCAATGACAAATTGACTCTTGAAGAGGTTTAAACTAAAAAACACTGAAAATTAAACTGTAAGTTTATTTTTATTATATTGATAATAGATTATCTATTCATTTGTTTTGAAATATCCATAAATGTATTTCCTTTCAGAAACAATAAACTATTGAATATATCGATGAATACCTTCGTTAGCGGTAATAATAGATAAGAAAAATTCTAATCCGATAGTACTACACTTTTATATCTATTCAGTGAGTCAATATCTAAATTCCGTTTAAATTTACACATGTTGAAAGATAATAAACTAAAGTACCATCATCGAAGATTATAATTTTTATCAGATAATACTTTTGTATTAGGGGAAATTGATAATGCCAATACTCCTCGATGGTTTTGAACTAATACACAAAAAATAGAAGTTGTATTGTTTTGTGCAGGAAGTTAGAATTTAAGTGACACATCAAATAAGTATCAAAATGGCTTTAACGCCGTTGCAAGTAATTTTGGGAAAATCAGCTGCCATAATTGGGGCGGTAAGTAGAATTAATACAGAATTATTCAAAATAAACAGTATCAAAGTGAATACAGTATTGTTATAATACACAATTTTGACATATTTTAATTCAATTTTCCATTCAAAATTTTTTTATTGCTTCAGTCTTCTTCTTACGGTACCTATCTGCTCCGGATGTTGGCTATCAATATAGCTATCCTAACTTTACTTGCAGCTATTCGGAATAGTCCGGCTATAGACGTATTGAACCACTTCCTTTGGTTTTGAATCCAATATATTCTCATTCTCCCTGGTCCTTTCTTTTCAAATAACTTGTCTCGAAGAATGAGTTGAAAAAAGCCATAATAATGTAGAAAATACATAGCTTCTGATGATAGAGATTTTGGTACTAAGTGGTAAATCGTGACTACTGAAAAGAGACTTTATCTTTACGAACGCTGATCTTGCTTCCCCATGCCTTGTTTTATTTCAGTGAAGTGGTTCCATCGACTGTTTATGTTAGTACCCAGATATGTATAACTGTTTACCCTGTTAATTGGCTCTTGGTTTACCAAAAGATGTGCATTTAATATTTCGCGCTTACTAACTACCAAGTACTTTGTTTTGTTTTGAGATCCATATTCTCGATTTATTATATCTGATATGTGAGACATTATTGCTTGTAAATCATCTAGGTTGCTCGACCTAGGCTCGAGAGCTGAGGGTGCTCCAAACAGATAACGCGGGAACATCTAGATTAGCACATGATCTTGCCGAGGCTGCCTCAGCATAAAGAACATTGATATGCTGGTGACGGCGGAACTAAATCCAACAGCATTGTAAAGAAGAGGAGGGTTTGTAGATACGACCGGGAACGCTGCTGTACGAATCTACAATAAGAAGCTGCGAGTGTATAAAATTAAGCCGAAAGAAGGATATGTAATTGTTCGGATGCAGAGGGTGTGGCTGGTCTGCTGTTATATTTCTCCAAACGTGACGGTGGGCGGGAACGAGATGAAGATGGATGAGATCATGGAAGAAGTGGGAAACACAGAAGAAGAATACGTAGTACTGGGAGATTTTAACGCCAAACTACACCGGAACTGAACATATATATATCGGGTTGTCGATAACCTGAACGAGGACCACAAACGCGGTCCGTGCGTTCGCAACGTCAGGAGGCGGATGCGGTGATAGGAATGACTAAAAAGTATACGAGAAGCTGATTAAATGCAAGATAGGTAGCCAAGATGTTAACAAGATGCCATACTGGTAGAATGCGGCCATCGAGGCACTAAGAAATTAATGTATAGCAATGAGAAGAAGGTTAGCCAGATCAAGGGGCAGAGCAGAGATCAACCCTGAGGTCATCGAGGAAGAGTACCGCGCAAGGAAGAGGGAACTTTACAGAAAAATCTGTGTAGAAAAAACAAGGCACTGGAAAGAGCTGTGTGAAAAGCTGGATGAGGACTTCTAGGGTCAGGGATACAAGATCCTCATGAAGAAGTCCCTTGCGTATCCTACTTACGAAATGTATATGGACAAGGAGCTTGAGATAACACGAGAGGTTTTTCCGGACGGCAGATGGCATGGTGTATGGAGGGATGAAGGAGCTGAGCGGGCCGTACCCTTTACCATGGATGAACTTGTCGAGGCATTGGGTTCAACAGTACAGATGATCGTGTACAGATGCAATATTCGTTATAAAACAAATTACTGAGAAATCATTAGAGTATAATAGACCAGTATTTCTGTATTTGATTGACCTAAAGAAAGCGTTTGACAGAGTAAGACTCAAAGATGTAATCCATCTATTGTATAATAGAGAAGTTCCCCTTAATATTATAAAAACTATCGAAAACATCTACTAAAACAACAAAATGGAAGTAAGAATTGATGGACAACTTACAGAACCTATAGAAGTAGGCAGCGAAATAAGACAAGGGCATTCATTGAGCCCCATGCTCTTCAACTTGATCATGGATGAAATCATCAAAAACGAAAATCATGCAAAGACTGGTCCCTAGATTTAACATAGCAAAAAAATTTAATATGACAATTTCATCTCAGAAAACTAAAACAATAGTAGTCAGCAAAGAACCAACCAGATGTAAAATAGAAATTAATGGCATCAGTATTAAATAAGTAAAGGAAATATATACCTGTCAATTACACTGTCTAGCTATGAAAACCTGGATAAAGAAGTGAGAGATCAAGTACAAAAAGAAAATAGAATAAAGTTAAGAATTTGTGAAGCCTGTGTAGACCAATAATGACATATGCCTCAGAAACAAACCCCGACACAGCTACAACGCAAGGCTACTGGAAACTGCAGAGATGAGGGTACTAAGAAAAATTACAGGAAATACGCTGAGAGATCGAAAAATATGAAGTGACAACCTTCCATGAGGTATTAATCCGCCAATAAACTAGCAGAATTGCGTATAAAGAGGAAGAAGGAGAACAGTATAATGCTTATGTAATGTTATTGTAAATAGATTTATATGCTATATGTTAGCTTCTCAATTCCGTACGCAATTTGAGCAGTAGCTCGAGTTATTCAGAGTCATCTCGGTTTCAGTGTTTGCCAGTTTCCAGCACATCAATAAGTTAGATATATTTCAGGTAGAAATACTCTGTCATATATTTGGGTTCTCTGTCCACTTCCTTGTATCTTAACAGTATTTGACGGTAGACTCTTTACACCCTCTCTCCATTTAAGGGGTGCACCGAACTGAGGGCCATTTTCTTGAAAAGAAAGAGAAATATAATGGGGTAGTTTTCTCGTTGCCTTCCTCCATCACAGTACCATAACCATTAAACTGGTTTTACAAGATTATTTCCGCTGCGCTTTGAGCTGGTACTGATAATCGCTGCTGTCCTTTTTCTTCTTCTGAAATTCTAGAATAGTTGCGTAGCTGTATTAGGAATATTGTTAGTGTGAGTATCTTAAGTAATACTCAACTTCTCTCATTGTACCAAGTTTCTACATGCGCAAATTATTGATAAGGTTATTGATGGTTAAGGTTATTGATCTTTACGCATGCGGTAAGTCTACATCGAGACTATAAGTTTATACATCTATGCCAAAGGCAGATACACGGGAAATGGGGAAATTCCTCTTTCCCCAAAGACGGTCCAAAATTAAAGAAAACCTATTATTTATGTATTCTATGGAGTTTGGATTTATCTTTTTTATGTCCATTGGTTAGTGTTTCACTTATACTAGACTCATACTAGATCCGTCACTGACGACTTTATTTGACACTTATAGACCTCTAAAATTGTTTTGTTTTTAGGTTCAAGGTCTTGCATGGTGGGGTATGTCCTTGGCTTGTATAATCGTTTACTATAATGAAACGGAGGTATCGACGAGTACTACAAGCTTTAGCCAGATTCTAAGTGAAGGGTTACAAGTTTCTTATTTAGGTAAGTTTTTCATTTTTTTTTATTTTTGTTAGTAGCCATATTTTGCGGTATCGATTATGTCGTAACTTATATCAACTTATATTTCAGTAAAAAACAGCAAAACGCTTTGGACATGGAGAGTAATCCTACCATCGGATTTGATTGTAGTGGCTTGGATGTACTTATTTGCAAGCATTGTGTGGTTCGTAATATCTATTGATCAATTTGTAGGTATGTTTACTTTAATATTTACTATTGATTGCATATTAGACTAACAGAGACACGGGTCCACTGATTCTAGTATCAGAATTACACAAGATATCTACATAATTAGTCTTTATTGATAACCAATGCGCACACGACAATCATTATTACAAAAGTTCTTATTCGTCAAGTTCCTCTCCTATCGGAGATTGGAAATCATTCTGGCAATTATAATTTTGTTGGTTACGCGCCTGAATAGTTCAATTAAACTGCATCCAAACCGTTCACGGAGATTGCGTAGCCACGAGATTTTACGTCTTCCTACGCTTCTTCTGCCTTTTATTTTACCCTGCATTATATTCCTTAGTAGTTCGTATTTTTCACCTTTCATGATGTGCCCCAAGTATTCAAATTTCCTGATTTTTATGGAATTTAAAACTTCGCATTGATTTCCTAGTTGTTCGAGAACTTGTTCGTTTGTTTTGCGATCCATCCATGATATTTTCAAAATACGTCGGTAACACCACATTTTGAATTCTTCTAGGTTTTTAATGTTGGATTTTTTAAGTGTCCAAGCTTTAGCCCATACAGAAGGGTAGAGAAAATATAACATCGAAACATTCTTATCCGAAGCGATATATTGATATCGCGTGCAATTTCAATGCGCCATCTTATTTCTTTTTTCTGATCAGTATCTTTTGTGATCCATGTTCCAAGGTATTTGTACGAAGATATTTGTTCAATTTCTGTATTATCTAATACTAGTTTAACTTTGATGTTTTGTGCTTTTGTAAATACCATGAACTTGGTTTTCTTCAAATTTATTTTTAGTCCATAATCGTTGCATACATTACTATTTCAATGCTTAGACTTAGTTGGTCTGGACATGTATGACATCAGACTGCTCAAAAATCTTGTACTATAATCAACTGTTTGTATTAAGGTAGATCTAAAGGTTTCGGCTAAAGTTCATATTAAACGTGGCGTCAGACAGGGATGTGTTATATCACATGTGTTATATATTTGTAATGTGGCTGTATATACGTATTTTGAGAATATCTTGGGTGGATCATATTTGAATAATGAATATACAAATTGAAATATTAAATATTATAAAGGCACAGAAATTGCAGTACTTGAGATATATTATGCAAAACAACAAACGCTTTGAACTTTTAGAACTAATTTTGCAAGGAAAAATAATAGGAAAAAGAGGTTCTGTTTCGAGCAGCGGTGATCAGTGGCCAAGATAATTGCCAATATCCGAAACAGATAGGAGCCGAAAGAATAAAAATGACAAACGATCATAGCAAGACATTTACTACCCACCATATGGAACATACTAACCGCAGAATTATATAGAATTTTACGGCATTTTTTCATATTACAAGTAAAGACAAGAGAGTTACAATTTGTAGAGATTCATTATCATCAAGAGATCGTCAGAGAGAGAGCATCAATGAATATCTAGTAAAGGAAAACAGATCAATGAGCCAAGGAAGTACTCACAACCGATGATCTCCTAATAGAAGTCCAAGTTGCCAAAGGAATTAAAAGTCTGCCTCTTCAATAAATGTAAATTTCACAATCAAAAATTAATTTCACCAAAATAGACCCAAGCCTCACTAACTTACCACAAAATTCATTAACGTCAAAATTCACATGCTTAGAGTAGCATACACCCAGGATATTCATTGTCACCTAATGAAAAATGCTAAAAAACGAAGAAATAAAAAACGAATTAAAAAATAATGTGAATGTTAATATGCAAAAAACACTATCAGACGACAAATAAATTATGGATGTACCTAAATAAAAAAAGTGTTATAATATAAAAAATATTACTGAAACCAGCTTAAGAAAGTTTGATACAACATAGGTCAGAGGCTAAAAAACAGTGGATGATAGAAGAAATACTATTACAGCTGGAAGAAAGAAGAAAATATAAAGAAAAAGATCTACAAAAGTTTAAAGAAATACAAGGAATAATTAAGGAAAAAATCAAAACAGCTAAGGAAATCTATTTGATGAAACAATGTAAAGAGATAGAAGAACTAGAAACAATGAGAATAGAAACTACAGACGATGAGAAATATGAGAAATATGCTCAAAAAAATAAGACAAGTGACTGGAATGGGTCGAAATAAACTGCAAGGACATATAAAAGACAAAAAAGGAGTACTACCAATTGATTTACCAGAGAAATTAAGACGATGGGAGGAGTACGTTAGAGAGCTTTTCCAAAATGAAAGAGGTGAAATACAGAAAATACAAGAATTAGATACAGAAGATCACGATAGATAAAATTAAATATGCTATCAAAAACTCTAAAGACAATAAGGCAGCTGGATTAGATGAAATACTAGTAGAACTGTTAAAACTAGTGGAAGAGGATAACATGGAAGTATTGGCAGTTATTCAACACGGTGTACGATACAGGAATAATACCACAAGAGTGGCTGAAGTCAGCATTTATAACCATCCCTTAAAAAAAAAGGAGCAAAAGAGTGCTCTGATTATCGAACACTGAGCCTCATGAGCCATACTTTAAAAGTACTGCTGAAAGTAATACATAAGAGAGTATACGAAAGGCTAGAGGAGGATATTAGCGAGACGCAGTTCGGGTTCCGAAATGGAATGGGTACTCGAGAAGGACTATTTGCCATCAACATATTGATTCAGCGATGTTGGGATGTAAACGTTGATATACACTTGTGCTTTGTTGACTACGAAAAAGCTTTCGATAAAGTAAGAAATGAAAAACTAATATCAATACCTATGAACAATCGCATTGACAGTAAAATCATAAATATAGTGCAAACGTTATATTGGAACCAAAGTGCCATAGTTCAAATTGATGGTCAACACTCAAAAGAAATGAAGATCTGTAGAGGAGTTAGACAGGGATGTGTTTAACTTATATTCTTAAGCAATTTTCCAAAACACGCTTAATAATATCAAAGCGGGAGCTACCGTTAACAGAAAATTAATTAACAACTTACGATATGCAGACGACACTGTGATCATAGCAATGAGTATAGAAGATCTACAACATCTTATCGAAAGGTTAAGTATGAATAGTGCTGAGATGGGAATTACTATAAAAGCTAAAAAAACGAAGTACATGCTAATTACAAAAAGACCACAAAATATACATCACCTATTAATAATCAATGGTATCGTGATAAAACAAGTAAAAAATATCAGTACTTTAGAACTTTGATTAATAAAACCAATGACCATTCTGCAAAAATAAACAGACGAATAGAGATTGCCAGATCAGCATTTATACGAATGAAGCCACTCCTAACGTGCAAAAATCTAAATTTGGAGATCAGACTACGTACCATTCGCTGTTATATATTTTCAATATTATTATATGGAGCTAAGACTTGGACATTAAAAAAATGTAATTTAAAAAGAATCGAGGCCTTCGAACTCTGGTTATACCGCAGGGTATTGAAAATATCATGGACTGATAGAATTACAAATAAAGAAGTACTGGAGAGGGTTGGTAAAGAAACAGAACTAATCACCACTATACAAACCAGAAAACTGAAATACCTAGGTCACGTGATGAGGGGACCAAAATATGAAATTTTGAGACTGATAATACAGGGAAAGATTCAAGGAAGGAGATCTATTGCTTGAACGCAGAACTCATGGTTGAAGAATCTACGTGATTGGTATCAATGCAGATCGATTGATTTGTTTAGAGCAGCAAGTTCAAAAATAAAAATAGCCATTATGAGCCAACCTCCGTAGACAGACGGCACTCTAAGAAGAAGATGTTTAAGGATAAAAAATTTTATAATTCAAATATTTAGGATAGAAACAGAAAATTTAGCAAACTTCAGCACCTACAATTTTGCTCTGTATTATTGCTGAATTGGCGTGTATTTATATCAGCATTCTCTATTAAATGTACCATTACTCATCTGTTCATTCTCATCCCTAAAACAGTTTTTGCTTTTTTGAGGATGAGTTGCTTTTTGCAACTGAGTTGCACTCATATAGTCCTCGAAGACATACCGTCTCAGGACTAGCAACTTCAACGTGGAGTCATATGTCGCCATGTTACCAAATCCATCGGTAACTCTGTAATCTTATATCTTTTTAACATTAATTTAAAACTAAATGTAATTAAACATATGTAATCGGGTTTTTACCCACATATTTAATCTTGGTGGCTTCATTCATGTACCCCTAGACACTGATGATGGAACATGGTTTCCGAAAACGTTTTGTCTTTTTAACTTAGCCCGTTTGGGCCTAAAATATACCTTTTACAAAGGATTTTTAATTAAATTTTTAATACATGGTATACAGCCAACTACAGGAACGTAGATTCCTTGTGGATTGTATCCATAACTTAACTAATTTTATTTTATGGGAAAGTAATAGGTACATATGTAATAGGTACAAGAAGTACGATGGACAGGCCATGGTATAGTCCAAAAAGCAAACTACAATATATACTATAGTTGCCATAGAACCAGACATGAATTTGGGACAGCCTTTATAGTCAATAATAAAATTAAGCACTTGGTTGTAGATTTTAAGCCGATAAATCCACGAATGAGCTTCTTAAGGATCTGGGGCAAGTTTTTTAATATTATCCTTATTAATGTACATTCCCCAACAGAGGACAAGGAAGATGAAGAAAAAGACAATTTCTATGATGAATTAGAAAGAACATATGACAATTGTCCCAGAAATGATATTAAAATAGTAATCGGTGATCTGAACACAAAAATCGGAATGGAAAAAATATATCTACCACACATTGGTAAATATAGTCACCATAATAATACTAATTCAAATGGACACCGAGCAGTCACCTTCACAGCCTCAAAGAACGTGATCGTAGGAAGCACATGTTTTCTAAAGAAAAAAACATATGGGGACTTGGACCTCGCCTGATGGATTAACGAACAACCAAATTGATCATGTGATCATAGATGCTAGACATTTCTCCAACCTTATAGATGTCTACACCTATCGAGACGCCAATATTGATTCAGATCATTTTCTAGTTGGCACAAGAATTCGGGCTAGAATCTCAAGTGCGAAGAAGAAGATAAGTACCAAAACAAGGCGTCTTAATATTGAACTCCTCAAAAATCCGCAAACGGTGGAAAGGTTTCAAAACTATATCGAAACTAACTACATAACTAAAGAGAATCTGATAATTAGTGAACAATGGGAAATGTGTAAAAATTATATTTCAAGACACAGCAAATAACATTCTAGGGCCGCAAAGACCAACACCACGCAATGAGTGGTTCGCTGTTGAGTGCGAGGGCAATACAAGAAGAAAGAACAAGGCATAAAAACTGATGCGACAAAGAAGAACCCGAGAAATAGAACAAAAATATAAAGATCTTAGAAGAGAAGAGAAGTACATCCATCGGAGAAAAAAGCGAACTTATGAAAATAGATAATTGGAAGAACTTGAGGTATTACAAAAGGAAAATCAAATAAAGAAAATTTTATAAAAATCTAAATATTGCAAGAAAAGAATTTAAACCAAGGATCGGACTATATAAGGATAAGGAGGGGCATATACTCAATACAAAAGAAAAAGTATTGAAAAGGTGGGTGGAACACTATAAAGAACTACTTACTATCGAAGTAGAAGGTCCAAATCAACCACCTACAGGAGCAAGCAACAATAAACCATTTGAGCCTTCATCAATTCAAAAATACGGGACGCAATAAAATACCTAAAAAATAATAAATCTCCGGGAAGTGATGGTATACCCGCGGAACTTATTAAATGTGGAGGTGCTACTCTGACTAATCATATATTTAAAATCACACTGAGAGCCTGGAATGAGGAACAAATCCCGGAAGAATGGGAAACTATAGGGGAATAACCCCTGCTTAATACAGCATACAAAATTTTTCGAGTATTTTATATGGTCGCCTGAGTGCATATCTTGGCGAATGTCAAAGTGGTTTTAGACCTAGTCGATCAACAACAAATCAGATCTTTGTACTGAGGCAAATACTGGAAAAAACCAATGAATTCAATATCGACACATACCATCTTTTCATAGATTTTAAATTGGCCTATGATAGTGTCCTAAGAAATAAATTGTATGAAGCCATGGATGAATTCCACTTCCCCGATAAACTGATAAGATTGGTTAAGGCTACAATGCGTAAAGTTGTTTGCAAAGCCGAAATAAAGGGCAAACAATCACAGGAATTTAAAACACATGTTGGGCTGCGACAGGGAGATGCGCTGGCGTGTCTCCTTTTCAACATAGCTCTAGAAAATGCAGTCAGGAATAACCACGTAGACAACAGAAGAAACATTTTTAATAAATCATCCCAAATTTTGGCATATGCACAAAGTGTTATGGCATCAACAACCAACAATATAGCCAGAAAAATCAGCCACCAATTCATGGCTGATAACTCTACAAGTAGTGGACAAATTCACATACTTAGGCTCCCTGATCACCAAGGAGAACCTCATGACGAAAGAAATTGAGCGAAGAATAGTCCTAGCAAACAAATAATATTTTGGATTAAGTAGACATATAAGAAGCAGACACTTAAGCCAAAAAACAAAAATAACCATATTCAAAACCCTTATACAACCAGTGTTGACATATGGATCAGAGACATTGACCATTTCCAAGGCAGATAAAAACTTCCTGCTTATATTTGATCGAAGGATCCTGAGAAGAATATTCGGTGAGATTTGTAAAAATGATGTTTGGAGAAGAAGGTACAACTATGAGATATATCACAGATATAAACATATATTTTGTGGTAAAGACGTACTATCTCTTATAAAAATAGGAAGACTAAGATGTCCAGGACATCTGGCAAGATCACGGCAGAACAACCCTCTTAGAAGAATCCTTATGTCACAACCTGTGGAAAGTAGAAGTAGGGGTAGGCCAAAACTCATATGGAGGGATGGTGTAGATGGGGATGGTAGAAAAATAGGCGCAGCAAACTGGTAACAGTTGGCAATGGATAAAACTGACTGGCGTAATAGACTTGTGAAAGTCGAGGCTCTTTTATAGGGCTGTAGCACCAATGATGATGATAAATAGGTACATATAGTTTACATTTACATTTTTAATCATTATCGCTATCTAATAATGGTTTGCACCGTTTGCGAAGTGGCTCAAAATCATCTTCATCGTCAGAAGAAACTGTTTCTGCAATAGATACTAGCGATAAAGAACATGGATTTTAACAAACTTCATTCTCGTTCTGTGTAGCTCTTCCTTTTCTAACAATGTAATCAATAATTAAACTTTGCGATAATAATGCTAGTAATATTTTGTGTAGCTCACGATATCCTGACATGCAAGTCTGCAGCTCACGTTGTAGTTTAAAGTTCACGCAGAATTGGGGTCATTAATAAGAAAATAATTTTCTAATTTACTGTAAAGTTGTAGACCTCGAATTAATTTGGCAGTGAGAGGGTTGGTTTTTCTTCCGCATCATTATCTTCTTTTAGATTCACGACGCCAACTAAAGTTAGATCTTAAGTTTGATCAATTATATCATGTTCACTTAATGCATCATCCGCAAGCATTCATCTATATTATCTTAGCTTAAGGTATTAAAAGCATCTCTGCTAATTTGATGTGAAAAATTAATTATTTCATTTGTTGGTGTCGATGGTTGAATGGTTGCATTGCTTGTTGACCAAACATTGTTCCAACGGGCATTTAAAGTTCTTGATCTTATTTCAGCGGAAGCAGACGCAACGTGCATCATACAATCAAAAATAAATAGAAAAATTGCTTTCACACGTCTTTTACTGTTAAAAGCGCATTTTCTTGTTTACTAACGATGGATTTGTGAGTTGACTTTATGTAATATTTTTTAAATGTTGCAATTATGACTTGATCTAATGGCTAAATAAGGCTTGTTGTGTTGAGCGGAAGAAATACTACTTGAAAGTTTGGATGTTTCATGTGTGGATAACCTGCTGCATTGTCAATAATTAATAAATCTTTAAAATCGAGAGATTTTTCCTTCATAGATTTCTACTTCTAACAGGAAGCAATTATTGAACCATTCTGTTAAAATAGATGTTACTCAGGCTTTCTTGTTAGCCATCCAATGCACTGGCAGTTGTTTTAAATATTCGATCTCCTGATGCATTACTACACAGTTATAATACTACTCGATCTTTACTTACTTTATGCCCACTTGCAGTTTTTTCATCCTTTGCGATGATAGTACGGTTAGTCATTTTTTTTCACTGCGGTTAACCATCAATAGTCAGCAATAAACCCGTTTATCCGTCCTTTGCTAGCTGAAAATTCTTTACCAGCATGGGAATTTGATAAAAGTGGAAGTTGATGGCTCTGACTGTTTCATTAACTCATAGAACTGAAGAGCTTTTTCCTGGATTAAATAACCACTTACAGAAATTCTTCTTTGAATTAATTCCTCGATCCAAATTACGATGGCTCTTTCTGTTCTTTCTAATAATACATCCCTTGAGTAAGATGAAAATTTGGCGCTTAATTTTGTACCAGAAATTATAGATTTTCTTATAACAACTACATTCTTCTTAATTGCTCTTACAGTTGATTCGCTTAAATTTAAATATGTTTTCCAATTGGCGTAGATTATTCGCCTTTTCCTAAGCGATCTACAATTGCAATTTTCGTTTCCATCGAAATTGATTGTCTTTATTGTATTTTTTCATTGGATCAAGAAAAACTTAAAAAAAATAGATTTACAATATTGAGATGACAAAAACCTCTTCCAATCAAAAATAAAACTTTACGACATTCACTTGAAACGTTTCAATCCCAAAAACCGTGCTGCTTATTATACTGCAACTTAAAATCAGTAACATTTTAAACAATTTATTATAAAACAAAGCACCGCTAAGAGAAAAATTATATTAAAACCATAACAGGTTATACCTTTCAATACGACATAAAAAAACCAGTCAAATTAACAGTTTAATTCTTTTTGTTGCAGCTATCCATTGGAATAAACGTAGACAATCAACATTAATGATAAGTTGGGGTGCACTAACAATTTGTATATCGGTAGTTGATTTGGTATTTTCATCTTTGCTATTACGAGACTTCATGAACTGTCCAATGGGTACTGTAGATATGTTGGGTTGCCATATAGTCATTGGTACTGTAATGACGATAGCAGCTAGAGGTTACACTTTATGGCTTTTAAATGGTGTACTTGCAATCAGCACGATATTGTCTGGAGTTAATGTAAGTTCATTATAGTTTGTTTTCATCCAATTAATATTACATTATATTTGCACACTTTAAAATTTCACTGTTTATAAGTCCGGCAAATATCGTCGGCAAAAACCTAGGACGATGTTTCTTCGATCAGTCTTGATTTTTTGGTATCGTTCTTCTTCTTCTAGTTCCATGACCATTATCGATCGTTGGATATCATGTTGGCTACCATATTCGCTATCGTGACTTTATTGACAGCAGCTCTAAATAACGATGTAGTTGATTTTCCATACCATTGCCTCAGATTTTTCAGTCATGATGTTCTTCGTCTACCAGGACCACGATTACTTTGGATCTTTCCCTGAATGATCAGATGTAAAAGATAATATTTTTCAGGGTGTCTCATAATGTGACCGAAGTATTCCAGCTTGCGTTTCTTTATTATATTGACCAGTTGTGTTGTTTGGCTCAGCCGTCTAAGGACCTCCTCATTTCTAACTCTGTCGACCGAGCTTATTTTCAGTAGTCGTCTGTATACCCACATCTCAAAGGCTGTGAAGCGTTTAAGCATAGCCTCAGTTAGAGTCCACGCTTCCACTCCATATAGCAGGACAGGAAAGATGTAGCAAGATGTCATACGAACTCTAAGGTCAATGCTAAGATCGTGACTGCAAAGTACGTTTCTCATTTTTACAAAGGCAGCTCGGGCTTGTTTTATTCGGCTTTTAATTTCTGCAGTTGGATCCCAGCTCTCATTGATATTACTGCCGAGATACACGAGTTTCTCTACTCTGTACAGTGTGGCATCTCCGACTTTTATACCGTCATCCTGTATATAATTTTGTTTGCTAACTAATATATATTTAGTTTTCTTAACGTTGAGTTTTAATCCATACTGATCACAAGTCTGTTTTATTGTGTTCATTAGATTTTGAAGGTCTTCTCCGCAATTGGCAAGGACTAAGGTATCGTCGGCATATCTAATATTGTTGACGGTTACTCCATTCACAATAATACCTTCGATTGTCTCCATTAAGGGTTCCTTAAATATTTCCTCCGAATATAAGTTAAAAAGTAAAGGCAACAATATACAGCCTTGTCTCACTCCTCTTTTTATTTTTTTCATCCGACAGTTCTTGTTCAACCTTTATTCTTGCCACTTGATGCCAGTATAGATTTGTAATTATTTGTAGATCTTTATCGTCCAATCCAGCTGTTTCCAATATTTCTAGCATTTTGTTATGTCAGACTTTGTCAAAAGCTTTTGCAAAATCGATTGCACAAATGTACACATTTTGATTTATATCTCTGCATCTCTGTACTAGCACCTGTACACTAAACAAGGCTTCTCTTGTACCCAAGCCACTCCTAAACCCAAATTGAGTATTGCTAATTATGTCCTCTAACAGCGTGTAAATTCTGCTGTCTATTACTCGCAGGAAGATCTTCAAAACGTGACTCATCAGACTTATTGTCTGATAATTACCGCATGTCTTTGGACGATGTTTCTTAGGTATTGTGACAAATGTCGACTTTAACCAATCAGTTGGTAATATCCCAGTGTCATAAATTCTGTTAAAGAGATTACACAGAGCTTTAATTCCATTTTCTCCCAAAAACTTTAGATTTTCAGCACTTACTTCATCGGGGCCAAGTGCTTTTCCATTTTTTGCCGTTTGTATTGAACGTCTTACCTCATTTCTGTTATAGATGAACCTGATATAGCAATCGGTGTATAGTGTTCTACCCTCTCATCTTCAAATAATTCAGAAATGTGGTTTTCCCATTCTTTTAACTTTTCATTGATGTCTAATATTCTGTGTCCGTTTCTGTCTTCTAAACTTTGGGATACTTGTTTCGTTTGTTTCCAGCGACCTCTTTTAATTTCTTGTGCAGATGAAATATATCGTGTTTCTTTTCATATTGTTTAATTTTATTACATTCTTTACTATGAAATTGTGTTTTCGCGTGTCGTATCTTCTGCCTGATTATTGCGTGGATCCTCTTGTATTCGTTTTTATCTTTATTTCTGACTTCTCTTCTTTGATCCATAAGTCTCAGTATTTCTTCTGTCATCCACCCTTGTTTTTTTCTTGCTTTTAACGCACTCAATTTTGTTTCTTGAACAGTCTTTAAGATGTCTTTAATTCCCGTCCAGTTTTCCTCAGTACTTTCTTCTTTGCTTGATGTTAACTTCATTTTTTGTTCTAATATACTAGTTATTTCTTGTTTTACAGTATCATTTAGCATCGTTTCTCTATCACTAGTAACTGTTTGTTTATTCGTCCTTGCAACTCTTTTTAATCTCAGTCTTATTTTTCCTACTAAAATATTGTGATCTGTTGGTACATCTGCGCCTGGATATGTTTTTACTGCTAATACTGAATTTCTGTATCTCTTATTTATGCATATGAAGTCTATTTGGTTACGAACAACTCGTTCAAGTGTATCTGCTGGTGATTTCCAGGTGTAAAGACGACGTTTTGGAAGTTTGAAAATTGTGTTCGTTATTACTAATTGCTTTTCTACGCAAAAAGATGCCAACATATCTCCTCTTTCATTTCGTATTCCCAGACTATATTTCCCTATGACATCTTCCTGTTCACCTTCACCAATCTTTGCATTAAAATCTCCCATGATAATATTGGTATCGTTACGTTTGGTTAATTTACGTATTTGCTACAGCGGCGGCTCGTGGCCTAAAAAAGTGGTGAAGATGAGGAAAGCTTGCTGAAGCCAAAAGGAGTTTTGGTACCTACGCCGAACCCAAATCTCATTAAAAATTCGTTAAAAAAATGTATAGATTTTAGGGCCCTAATAACTTGAAAACAGTTTTTTAGGGCACTTATACTAGATACGATTCGTTCTACTTACCTGGAGTAAAGAGAGAGGACCAAAGTGACAGATGTCATAGGAAAAATTGCACAAGCCAAATGAAGATGGGCTGGACATGTAGCACGTGAAATGATAATAGGTGGACCAAAAGACTCATAGAATGGAGAACTAGAGAAGATAAAAGACACCGAGGTGGATCACGAAAAAGATAGATGGCTGACTTGAGAAAAACAGTGGGAAATTCGATACAGATGGCACAAGATAGAGAACAATGGAAGAATATGAAGGAGACCTATATCCAAAAGTGGATGCAAAAGGTTGCGGAATGATGATGGTGATGATACTAGAGCCGAGGGTGAAGAGATACTTAAACAAAAAAAAAAAAGCAGTATTAGATAGGTCTATAGGCCTTCGGTCTTTTTGGGAGCCAATTTATCAATAATTTCCTCGTAGAAAGGATTCTTCTGCATAGGTTCATTCAACAGTCAAACTGGATAGTCTATCTTGTAAAATCGTGTTTTTTGTAAAAATTTTTAATCTTTTTAAGCACGAAAAACTTCTTTCTACAGAAACCCTTGTCAATAGAATTGTCATAATTAAACAAAACAAATTATAGGCTTCTGCAACAATGTCTTTACTTGGTTGTAACTTTAAAACCAAGTCATGAAACTCAAATAAATTTTGAAAAGAGTCGGAAGGGAAGGTCAAACTGTATGGTTTGGTCAAACTGTATTCTACGCACTACATTCTTTGTCACTATCAGGAGAGAGAATAGTCTAAACGGAAATGCTAAGGTGACATGCTTTGATGGGCAATCACAGTAATGGATCTGTGATCTGCACGTATTAAAATTTTGTGTAAGTAAGTTGACATTGACCAAAGGTCCAACTAAAACTACTATAGAAAATCAGCTTATGAAATATGACATACAGAATATTTTGATTTTAACTAGATTGCATAATCCAGATCTCACAGTCACACCCGTCTGTTATAATAAGGTTGTAGGTTTGAGAGTAAATGAAGTGTACATAAAGTGTGAATGAAAGAAATAGACTAAACGATCTATTGGACAGTGAGTGGTTGACTACAATAAAATGGTCTACCAGGCACTGTCAATACTGTAAAAACGAGAAAATTGAAAGCAGTGTATAAATGGGGTATAATTCAAGTAGTTCAGTTAAACCCCCAACCAATGGGAGAACTGTAAAACTAATATGTAATAGCGTTACTAAAGACCAGAGTTACTAAAGACCAACTGACCAACAGTGGCAGGTGTTGAAATATAAAACTGTGGAATTGGTATATCTAGATTACGCAGAGATATGAAGGGTGAAATTAACTCCAACTGTGGATCAATTGAACCTGAGCAAGCTAGTTGTATACATTGTTAAAGAATACAATAGTAATGCTGAACAAAGCATAAAATGAATATATTCTTAATGGATATACTCAGTGCAGGAAGTCTAAACAGCCGAGCTGGGTCCACTACGAGGTGAAGCTGCAATAAAGTTTTTAAAAATAGGTTTAAATCTAGTACAATTTAAATTAATTTGAGTGTTATGACAATGAGAGTTTTCATTCGTTTCCTTTGTGGTCTCCAAATCTTCCAATAAATTTAACTCGAAATAGTTCTCCTTTCTACTGATGTCATGCAAAATAGACGGACCAGTATTGATGTTGAAATTGTGTTTACTAGATAGTAAATGTTGACCAAAACTTGAAGAGTTTGTTCTTTTCAAATGTTCTGAAATTCTGGTAGGTAGCTTTCTAATAGTTCTGCCTACACAAGAGGCATCACAATCATCACACTTTAATTTGTAAATACCACTTTTGTTAAGTGTGTTCAGCCTATCTTTGGTGTTAATTAAAAAGGAACCTACAGTGTTGTGTGACTTGAAGGAAATTTTGATGTTTTCAACTTCTTCTTCTTAACATGCCATACACCAAAGTGCGTAGGCGACTATCTCATTACTAGAATTCTGTTCTTGGCGGCGTGACACAGCTCACCTGTATTGTGTATTCCTGTCCATTCTTTAATATTCCTTAACCAGGATAATTGTTTGCGGCCGGCTCCTCTCCTACCTTCGATCTTCCCTTGTAGGATTAACTGTGGTATTTCATATTTTGCTCCTCTCAATATGTGCCCAAGGTAACCAATCTTGCGTTTTTAAATTAATTCAAAGAGTTCTCTTTTTTTGTTGTTTCATTTTTGATGTTTTCAACTGCAGAAGTAAAAAGTTTAGCTATTTTATTGGAAATGTTGCTAATATTAGTAAAAGAGGAATATCTGATGTTGTTAGAAGCATAAGGTTGAGGAAGACATTGTGATGAATATGCAAGCTTTTCTGTAATTTTGAGTTTAGCTCTATTTAGAAGCTTATGGATAATGTTGGGATCATAACCATTATTGAAAGCAATTTGCTTGAGAGTGTTAAGTTCTAAATTAAAGTTATCATTCGAAAGTGGAAATTTGAGTAATCTGTGAATATGACTATTGAAAGCAGCCATTTTATGTTGGGTTGGATAGTTATATGTCTCATGTATAACACGATCTGTTTGGGTGGGCTTTCTGTAAATATTTTACCGAAGAGAATCTTTACTGCGAGATATAGTCATATCCAAGAAGTTCAATTTATTGTCAGATTCTTGTTCCAATGTAGAAGAGATGTTAGGATGGAGGTTATTAATATCATCCAGAATCTGTAAAGCATCATCTTGGGATCCTTGTATGAGAGCTATACAATCATAAACGTACCTTGACCAAAAAATTATTTTGTTTTTGTTGTTAACAAATTTCTGTTCTAAGCTGTCCAAAAAAATATCAGCTAGAAAAGGTGATAATATCATTAAGAGACAGACAAACCAACAGAAGTATACGCGAACAATGCAAAATTCAAAATATTAACAAGTGGATAAAAAAAAACTGGAACAAACATGTAAACCGAATGGGAGCAGATAGATTAGCGAACATATGTAAAAACAACAAGCCGTATAGCAGAAGACCCGTTGCAAGGCCGCCAAAAAGGTGGAAAGATGATGTACAGTCAACAACGACTGAAACAGAATAAGAGGCAGACACACAGGAGTAATCCTAGTCGCACGGAGAAGAAGACGAGATAACTTGTGTTACGGTTCTGTAACCATACAAGTTTGAAAATAAAATATAATATTAAATCTTAAAACTAAACCACACCGCTGTTAAAAATGTAGATTTATTTCTGTTGTCTTATCAAGGGCTGTCCTTTTCTAAAGTGTAAAAAGTACTGTATTGCTTACGATATGAATCGAAGCGAGAGGGCAATGTTTGGCCAACATATGTTTAGTTTTTGTAGTGAGTGCGGAAATTTGGGATTAGTTCATCCAAGGTTAATAGGGGAGGATGCATGGGCAATATGCACATGTGCCCAGAAAAACATTAGACAGCAGGATTCTATATACAACTTTCGGAGTGATATGTTGTCATGGTTGTCGGGTCGCAACGGTGCAAAAATGTAATGCCGCGTTTACGGTAGTTGGAAGTGCATTTGATAAGCGTTATTATCAGTGTTATTGTGACGAACTTAGTATGCAGTTTATGTGTATGAAGCTAAAGTACCGGCTTCTTTAAGGAAAATAAAATGGTTGATGGTTTGTTACAACTCTGGGAAAAACAAGGTAAAATTTACTAAATACAAAATTCAGCATAGAGCATAGCTGAAATCTAGGAAAATGAATGATTCGACACCTAATAGGAGTCCGAAGAAAACCCAAAGTAGACTATTGTGCTTTCCTTCTCTTTAAAAACCTAGGTTTCGGTAACGCGCTAAGGCCTTTAAGTTAATAAAATACTTACGATAGGACTGAACAAGTTTCTCATTGATCCGCAGTCTGCAGTAGTTTGCATTTAAAGTTAACATTTAGTTTAAAGTTTGCATTTAAAAATAGTACCTATTCAGTAAATAAATTAGTATTAGCATTAAAGTTTAACTATAATTATAACTAAAACCTTTAGGGTTTAAGGATACAATAGAATTGTCCAGTCTTTATCGTATAAATAGGTTGGTACCAATCCTTAGGGATATAAATAAATGTTTATTTCTTTATAAATAAATGTATATTATTCCTTAGGGATATAGAAATGCTTGTATTTCTTTATGTAGGTAAACGTAAACGTTATGTCATTTAATCTATGCAAAATTTGGTATATGATTTTATATTAAACCAACTTACATAAATATACTGTATTTTATTTCTAGACATAGTCTGTTGTTGGATTAACAGGTTGTCCTATTAGGATATAAAGATTTACAGACAACAATACAGGGTTTCTCAGGTTACCTAGTGGTTCGTTAACAATATAAGTTGGTCGTAATTACTGAAACTCTGGGTGGTCCATTAAATCGAAGGGTCTTCAAGCGAATAAGTAAAAATCGCAAGGAACTGTGGGACAGTGAAGTTTTTCTTTGGGTTTAGAATTATACTAATCACCGGGGTTGGCTTGGATCACTGTTCTCCCACATTTTTATTGTCCTTCGAGCCGGATCTGAACCAGCGACCTGAAGGACCACCATAATGACATAACGTTTACGTTTACCTACATAAAGAAATACAAGCATTTATATATCCCTAAGGAATAATATACATTTATTTATAAAGAAACAAACATTTATTTATATCCCTAAGGATTGGTACCAACCTATTTATACGATAAAGACTGGACAATTCTATGGTATCCTTAAACCCTAAAGGTTTTAGTTATAATTATAGTTAAATTTTAATGCTAATACTAATTTATTTACTGAGTAGGTACTATTTTTAAATGCAAACTTTAAACTAAATGTAAACTTTAAATGCAAACTACTGCAGACTGCGGATCAATGAGAAACTTGTTCAGTCCTATCGTAAGTATTTTATTAACTTAAAGGCCTTAGCGCGTTACCGAAACCTAGGTTTTTAAAGAGAAGGAAAGCACAATAGTCTACTTTGGGTTTTCTTCGGACTCCTATTAGGTGTCGAATCATTCATTTTCCTAGATTTCAGCTATGCTCTATGCTGAATTTTGTATTTAGTAAATTTTACCTTATTTTTCCCAGAGTTGTAACAAACCATCAACCATTTTATTTTCCTTAAAGAAGCCGGTACTTTAGCTTCATACACATAAACTGCATACTAAGTTCGTCACAATAACACTGATAATAACGCTTATCAAATGCACTTCCAACTACCGTAAACGCGGCATTACATTTTTGCACCGTTGCGACCCGACAACCATGACAACATATCACTCCGAAAGTTGTATATAGAATCCTGCTGTCTAATGTTTTTCTGGGCACATGTGCATATTGCCCATGCATCCTTCCCTATTAACCTTTAATGAACTAATCCCAAATTTCCGCACTCACTACAAAAACTAAACATATGTTGGCCAAACATTGCCCTCTCAATACAGTACTTTTTACACTTTAGAAAAGGACAGCCCTTGATAAGACAACAGAAATAAATCTACATTTTTAACAGCGGTGTGGTTTAGTTTTAAGATTTAATATTAATTTTATTTTCAAACTTGTATGGTTACAGAACCGTAACAACTTGTTTTCAGATTTTATCTCTGAAAATGAAGTTCATTCACTGGTTAAGTTCTACATTCAATCGCTTCAAGATTACTTTGAGAAGTACTTCTCTGCTGATACAGATGTGAGGAGAAATAATCTGTGGGTGATTGATTCCTTTTTAGCTACCCACGATAATAATCTGTCTATTCAGGAAAATGAACAGCTTATTGAAAGTTTATCCGATGATCATTTAAAAGTGATTAAATCTCACTGCGAAAATGTTGCAGACTTTTGGATAGGATTACTTGATGAAAGTCCACTGCTAAGTGTAAAAGCTTTGAAACTTCTTTGTCCTTTCCATTCCACTTATCTCTGTGAGGCATCATTTTCAACAATGTATGTCATCAAGAATAAAAACAGAAATAGATTGATAAATTTGAATGCCCCTATGAGACTTTCGTTAACTTCTTTCGAGCCAAATATTGAGAATCTTTCAAGTGAGAAGCAAGACCAAGGGAGTCAATAACGTCTTAATTTGGCGCAATCTATGACTTTTTATTTATTTTTTTATATTTGTTTTGTCTTTCACTATGTATTTTCTTTTTTTATTTTGTAAATAATAAATTCATTAGTAAAACTTCAGTGTTCATCTCATTTTACCTAGTATTGGGAAATATTTATAATAATATCTAAGTGGTCCGCCAAGAATTCTGAAAGGTACAAGTGGTTCTCAGTGGTGAAAAGGTGGAGAACCACTGCATTTAAATTTAATGTAAAATATCTTTCTTTTAACCTTCCTAATGCAGTTATTACATGTTGATGACGTAAGAAAAGAAATGTAATATATTAACATTTTGTATTTAAACTTGCACATACTTGCAAGCAATAAACTCCAACTCATTTTCTGTTTGTTACAACATACATAAAACTCTTGGTTTAGTAGACATTCGATAAAAATCCACATCGTCCAAAGTTGAAAATGATTTGGTCGATTCTTTGAGTTTAGTGTTAGAATGTACCTAATACCACTTACGTAATTCTTAAATATTTAGGTATCGTTGATGAAATCGGGCATTAATATTATATAATTTTAATTTTTAATGAACATTCTAACTGGACTTGTATAATACTTTGTAATTTTATGTTGTAATTATTGTATTTTGTCCTCCCGCCAATAATCCTCAGTAGTTGATGCGGTTAATAAAAAAATAATTTCTTGCTGTATCTCATTCAAGCGCTTACTATTATAATTCTTAAAAATATTTTTATTGCATAATGCATGCTTATGCGTACTCTGTATCTTTTATCGATGATTTTGCAATTTAACTTAAATGTATTCAATGTTTATTTTAATTTTCAGATAATAACACACGAGAAGATAAAATCAACCATTAAGTAAGTAAAAAGTTTTATGTTTCAAATCATCTAGTTACATGTTCTTGATTCTACAAAACAAATAATGTTACTTTTCGTATTTGTTGTCCTTATTATCGCAAAATACTACTATTTTCTTTTGTTATCAAAAAAATGTTATTTTATAATTAATTTGGATCAACACATCTATATCAAGCTATTGAGAAAAATGTTAATTAGAGGGATCCTTTGTACATCACCTGTTCAGGATCTTACTACAATGTTCTTTTAGTTTATAACGGCGTGGCATGCGCTGATACAAGTGGTGTGTCGTATCTCTCAAAATTGGTATTATTTAAAAATATAATCGATTAAATTTTTTTTAATTTCCTTTATAAAAGGAAGCTACTAAATATGTGGGTAAAAACGCTTTAAATGTAGTTTGTGTAAAAGACGTCAGTCACCACCTGAAATAAACGCTGTCATCACTGTAATAAATGTGTCTATAATTTTTTAAGGGGATACCTATCTCTAGGGTAGAAAAAATTGCGAGAAGGGGATGAAGAACATTCAGGTTTTAGTTCCTGTAAAGAGTTGAGTCTATGAGTTTGCTTTAGAAGCCGGAGGAATGTATAAGCGAAAATGTGTTCCCAACCTGTAAACGGTCGGGAAGAAAAGTAAAACCAATTTTCGAGTTTACAATGTATTAAATAAACTGTAAACTACAACTAAGACAACAATATATCGGGTATAACTAATTATTGTTTGTTCAGACGCTAGGGGAGACGAGAAGAGACCTTAGCAAAAAACTAAAGGTTGGACAATCTACGATTATTATATATTCCCCTGGGTTAGTATTTATGTTTAGTTACCTTCGCGTACTTAGGCCCTAGCTAATGAATTCGGTTTTCTAGTCCAACTGGAATTCAGGAACCGTCTGTTGAGGGTATTGTACGCTTTCACGAATTTTTCGAGATACGAAATATCCGGCACTTATACGGTACTACTGTCCCGTCGGAATACAGTAACGCGCTCACTGGTGCCGCGTAATTATTGCCCCGGTCGCCAGCACTTATCGGCATTGAGCACTCACGGGTCTCCCGCACTTACTGCCCACTACTGTCGAGCGCTTACTGGACGCTACTGCCTCAGAGCACTCACGGGTGCCGGACGACTACTGGCGATTGAGCACTCTCTGGCTACGGTGGCCTGAATACTACCGGTGTCTAGCGCTTGCTGGACACTACCCGTGCTGAGCGCTCCCTCGACGCTACTGTTGTAGCGTCGAGGGCTAGAAGGAATAGAAGGCTTGTTAAAAAGTTAATACTTAAAATCTTTACTAGAACATCTTAAAGAAAAGCAGATGATCGTAAAATTAAGAAAACATTATATTGTGGAATATGCTTGTGTGCAATTGAAAGTGATAACTTACAGTCACCATTCATAAGACACAAAAATTATAGTATATATAATAATTGTTTAATTCAACCTTCCAAAGATGTTATTCATATTTGCAAAATTGCTGAAAGTGAAATTAGAATTATGTACGATTCAAAAAAATTAAATTTTAAGTCAACTTAGTGATTATAATAAATTATATTAGAAAATTATTATCACTAAAAAACTTGGACAATTAATTACAACGAACGATTTTCTTCACAAATTATAACTTATTTTTATGTCATATTTTCCAGCGGTATTGAAATTCCCAGAGCTAAAACTGGACCCAGTCAGAACAATACTCTTGAGCATCCAAGGCATTTGCAAGAAAATAGTAATTACTCACCTCAACCTAATTTGAACGGATATCGCCAGTCTCAAAACTTGGAGCCACAAAGTCGTTCTTTGGGAGGATATCCACACTCACCAAGTCTAAGTTCGGCAACTCCTACAGGATTTCCCTCTCAGTTGCGAAATGGAAATAGGTTTAATTATTAAAGATCATATATTTGGTTTTATAATTTATAGTGCCTTTGCATAAATTTGTTATATAGAGAGAATAAAATATTTTTTAATTTTATGCGTTTTACTTACAATACGTTCTTAGATCCCCTTCAGTATAGGAATTACAGGTTGAAATCAAGCATATTCTAAACAATAAAAAACCGCGCGAAGAGATGGTATATCAACGGAGCTTTTAAATATTGATACGGTAGTCTCACTGTAGTCATTCTCAAAAAGGGAAATATAAACCAACTGTTTATAGAGACATATCAGTGACACCAAAACTAGGCTTCTATTCACCTTGTGAGCACACAGAATTTAAACCTAAAATGATCAGTTATAAATTTTTACTTTCCTTCCATTTGCTTTTCTCCCTTCTTTTTCATTTCACATAGTTTTCATCTCTAACTCTGACATGACCAAACCATTACAATTTTTGTTCTTGAATCTTTTTTGAGACTAGTTACCCCAACTGTTTCCCTAATCAAGTCGTTCATGGCTTTGTCCCTTCTAATCTTACCCATCATCCACCATAACATTTTAATTTTAGCTACCTTCTTCTTCTTTTCCTGAACCATATTTACATGACACACTTCTACGGCGTACACCAAAGCAGGTCTTATCAAAGTACCCCGCTCATTTTCTTCCAGCTAAACCAACCAGCCCGTATCCTGTGGGCTATTTCTTGATCTAGTGTCTCATTTTCCGTTAAGTAGGAATCAAGGTATTTAAATTCTCCTACTCGTCCTAGTTTTGTCTAAGCAATTCTATGTCTCCAACCATTCCAAACACATACACACCGTTTTCGACCTGCTTAAGTTAAGTTCTACTTTTCAATAGCCTTTCTTTAACTCTCTAACACGGCATCTGTTGTCGTCTTTCCCGGCATAAACCCAAACTGTTCTTCTCCTATCGATGTCTCTCTCCAGTTTCATTGTGTGCGACATTACCTTATTACCTCTCTATAGTTGTTATAATCTTGAATGTCCCATTTATCTTTACATAATAATACTATCACGTCACGTGATATTTTGTTACATTTTTATACAAAGAAATACATTTGTTAACATCTTTTGTATTAAAAAATGATTATTCTTTGTCGTTTATAATTAAGGATAGACCACTGGAAATCGTAATATATTACCAGTATCTGAGAAAAAAAATTTAAAAAAACTTTAAACTTATCACAAGATTTTATTTAGCTCTGAAATAATCAAATTTGTACATTAGAATCATTTTTGTGAGATAAAGATAAACTTATAAATTAAAATAGTATTTTCTAGTCAACATAGAAACGATTGAACACATTTCCTTTTTGTTATTATACTTGGGGTAATTAGGCTCGTACGAGGTAAATCCTATGGCTACTTCTCTATTGACCCTCGTCAAAATAGATAAGAGATCTTCAGAGTTATGATGTTTTCTCAATTGATTGACCAAAGCTTGAATGAAATAACTGCCTGTAGCTGGATCCCTCCAAGCATAATATTCTGCAATAAAAATTAAACATTAACAGGAATACATAAAACACTAAACATTAAACCTAGAGCTAAGATTAATACTATTTCTTCTTCTTCTAGTTCCATGACCGTTGTCGATCGTTGGATATCATGTTGGCTACCATATTCGCTATCGTGACTTTATTGACAGCAGCTCTAAATAAAGATGTAGTTGATTTTCCATACCATTGCCTTAGATTTTTCAGCCATGATGTTCTTCTTCTACCAGGACCACGATTACCTCGGATCTTTCTCTGAATGATCAGATGTAAAAGATCATATTTTTCAGGGTGTCTCATAATATGACCGAAGTATTCCAGCTTGCGTTTCTTTATTATATTGACCAGTTGTGTTGTTTGGTTCAGCCGTCTAAGGACCTCCTCATTTCTAATTCTGTCGACCCAGCTTATTTTCAGTAGTCGTCTGTATACCCACATCTCAAAGGCTGTCAAGCGTTTAAGCATAGCCTCAGTTAGGGTCCACGCTTCTACTCCATACAGCAGGACAGGAAAGATGTAGCAAGATATCATACGAACTCTAAGGTCAATGCTAAGATCATGACTGCAAAGTACGTTTCTCATTTTTACAAAGGCAGCTCAGGCTGCTTACTATTACAGGAACTAATATTAAACTGAACAGTCTTCCGGGTTGAACCGCGTCGATTATGACTTCGATGTCTTCTTCAGGGCTTTTGAGGTCTCAATCTCCCGAGCCCCCAGACTGATCACTAATCAACGCATTACTGCTGCTGAGAATAGTGGACAGGTCATTTATACCGTTGATAATGACGTTCAAGATAACCGTACAAGAAGTAAAACAAACTTTAGAAAAACTGAAGAACAGAAAAGCTGCAGGTAAAGATGGAATTCCAAATGAATTATTGAAATATGGTGGAGAAGCATTAACAGAACAGCTAATAGCACTAATTAACAAAATCATCAAACATAATAAAATACCTGAAGAGTGGAAGAAAAGCGAGCTTATTCTACTATACAAAAAAGGAGATAAAAAACAACCTGAAAACTACAGAGGTATCAACTTATTAAACACCACTTTGAAGCTTACAACCAAAATATTGCAAGGCCAAATAAATCAGAGAATTACCTTAGCGGATGAACAGCAGGGTTTTCGCACAGGAAGATCGTGCACAGATGCAGTATTCATCATAAAACAGATTACCGAGAAAGCACTAGAGTATAACAGACCATCATTCATATGTCTAATAGACCTGAAGAAAGCGTTCGATAAAGTAAAGCTTAAAGATGTAATTCACCTTCTTTACGATAGAGAAATTCCACTAAATGTTATAAAAACAATAGAGAACATTTACCAAAACAACAATATGGAAGTCAGAATAGATGACCAGCTTACAGATCCAATAGATATGGGCAATGGAATAAGACAAGGAGACTCGCTTAGTCCAACGCTATTCAATCTAATCATGGATGAAATCATCAATACTATTAATAAAGGAAGAGGATACAAAATGGGGAACAAAGAAATTAGAATACTCTTCTATGCAGATGATACGGCCCTAATTGGATCCAATGAAGACGATCTACAAAGACTAACCCATAGATTCAACACAAGGGCAAAGGACTTTAATATGGTGATCTCTACACAGAAAACTAAAACAATTGTAATCAATAAAGAACCAATTAGATGTAAACTAGAAATCGACGGTATCAGCATTGAGTAAGTAATGGAGACAAATTACCTAGAAATTACACTGTCTAGCTACGGAGATGTGGAGAAGGAAGTGAAAAATCAAGTACAAAAGACTAATAAAATAGCAGGTTGTCTTAATAACACGATATGGCGCAATCCCCACATTAATACCGACGTGAAATCAAGAATCTACAAAGCAGCAATAAGACCAATAATGACATACACTTCAGAGACAAGACCGGATACCTCCAAAACTCAGCAACTACTAGAAACAGCGGAGATGCGTTTACTGAGGAGAATTACGGGAAACACACTGAGGGATCGAATGAGGAGTGAGGAGATCAGAAGAAAATGCAATATACCAGAAATAAATGAGTGGACACTAAACAGAAAAAAGGAATGGAACGAACACATAAACAGAATGGAAGAGACCCGATTAGTCAGAATAGCGAGGGACAAATCACCAAAAGGTAGAAGAAGTATCAGGCGACCACGCAAAAGATGGAGTGATAACCTCCAATAGAGGCATTAATCGACATTGAACAAACATTTTGCTTATAAAAAAAAGAAGAAGATAATGACGTGGCTTGGATAAAGGTTGGCGTGGGGGCCAACGTGAGGATTGGCGCGGGGATTGGCGCGTGGATTGGCGCGTGGGAGTTGCCGCGAACATTTCTGTTAGTAGTATTTTAATTGACGGATGGAGCGGATGGTATCTTCTTTATGAGAGGTATCCAAGTCGAAGATAACCATATGATGTCATCTCTTTTATACATCACAACGACAGTCATCAACTTAACGGAACCAGTGTAAAATTTTAGTTTAGTTTTTATGTCAGGTAATCACGACTCAGCCCAACAACTACTTCTTAAAAGCAATTAAATACACCGAAATATCAAATTTACCAGTAGTATTTACCGAAACTAGTATCTTCCCAAGTCATTAATTTTCTAGATTTATCTATTACCAGACGCAACAATCAATTTGATTTTGGTATCTTTCGCAAGCCCACCCAAACCGATCATGTCATTCATTCTTCCTCCAATCACTCTCTATCACACAAATTAGCTACTTTCAGAAGTTTCATCCACAGACTATATTCAATTCCCATATCTACTGACTCCTTTAATAAAAAACTCAACATAATAAAACAAATAGCTGTCAACACTGGTTATGATCCTTTTATAATAGATAAACTCATCCATAAAAGAGAATCTAGATTTCTTCAAAATTCTGCTTTTAATCAATCTTCTTCTACTCCAATTTACAGGTTTACCGTATCACACTCCCAAACTATCTGAAAATATCAAACGTATTATAATTAATTCATCAGAAAACATATCTTTTAAAACTGGAAATACTCTTAACCATTTCCTGACAAATACTAAGGATACAATACCCTATATGAACCGTAGTGGAGTTTACAGATTGGCTTGTTCTGATTGCGATACCTCCTACATTGGCAGGACTTATAGGTCACTTTCAACTAGATCTGCAAAACACTCTAAAAGAGATAATACATCAGCTTTTTCACATCACCTTAAAGTCAACAATCATCATTTTAACATCCCTGATGGTGTCAAATTAATTCATAACATCCAAGGTAGTAATACTTTACATATGAGGACCTTGAGATCTCCAGAGACATATGGACTAGCCTAAATTGTGTTAACCTCCAAACTACTCTAAATAGACCTTTTACTCCCATACACCGACAACTATTCCCTTAATTTTATTCAAAATTCCAATAATTGCATCTAATTTTCATCTTTTTCATTTTGCTTCTGTTTTCCCATTTCCCAACCACCCCACTAGCATCTAACATTTTGTAACTTCCTTATTAATCACCCATTAACACATACCATACCTAAATTTGTCCACCCCTTCATTTTCTTTCTTTCTATTCATCATATCCCTTCCTTTTTCACCATCTCATCCCATGGCAGTGTCTTTCTTTTTTCTCATCCTCCTGCCAGTTCTATTATGACTCACTTCTTCACATATTCTTTCCTCATGTCTCTTACTTCTTGGGGTCACCTTACTTGTCTTTGTACTGTTCTTCACCATTATTCTTCATCATTAACTTTAAACTTAAACTACATCACTAAAATTAACTCCATCATTCATCTTCTCACATCCATTCGACACTTTCACTCTGTGGATCCCATTACCACCTAGGTACGAGTTCAACGAAGAAACACATACATTTTTCTAAACTTTAAACAGGAGTTTGATAAACTTAACAGAAGAAAAATGATCCAAGACTTACAAGAGACTAATATACCAAATAAAATTATAAGAATGATAGAAATAGATAGAAACTGCTACGAAACGAATACTATTGCCTCGGAATAGGACAGATTATCAGGACAAACGACGTAAGCTACGAATAAAGGACACTCTATTAGGGACATGGAACGTACTAAGTTGGTATCGACCTGGAATTTCCACAAGAGCAATAAAACAGCTGGAAGAACTACAATACGATGTGACTGCAATCCAAGAAGTCAGATGGACTGGGTCTGGGACAATCCAAATGGAGAAGTCAATAGTGCTATGGTCTGGACATGAAACACGTCATGAAAGAGGGTGTGGTTTTGTAATAAGCGAAAGGATTAAATCTGCTATACTAGATTTCAAAGCAATTAATGATACAGTCTGTAGCATAAGAATAAAGGGCAAATGGTTCAATCTATCGATATTCTCAGTGTATGCACCAACCGAAGAAGCAGCAGAGGAAGAGAAGGAAGAATTCTATGACTCCATAACCCGATGATACACGGAAGCCCCAAAACATGACATCAAAATAATATTAGGGACTTAAACGCAAAAATAGGCAAAGAAAAACACATAAGGCCGGTAGCTGGAAATCAGAGTCTACATGACATTACCAATGATAATGGTTCAAGGCTGATATATTGCCAGGAAAAACATATATAAGGTAACATGGAGATCAAATGATGGAAGAACGAGGAAATAAATTGATCACGTATTAATTGATGGGAGGCATTCCAGTAGTATAATAGACGTAAGAACTAGACGGGGACCAGATAGTGATACAGACCATTTCCTAGTAAAGGCCAAGCTCAGAACTAGAATCTCAACACAAACAACAGACAAATAGATGAAGATCGAAAGATGGAATGTGTCTAAATTTAAAGAAGAAGAGGGAAAGAGACAATACCAACTAGAATTGAGAAACAGATTTCAGGTGTTGGAAACAAAAGAAAATGAAAGAAAAAATATAGACCAGAAATGGCACTCCATTAAAACGATCATTATAGAAACAGCAGAGAGAAGTGTATAGGTCGGAAGAGAAAAGCAAAAAGAAAAAAATGGTTTGATGAAGAATGCGAGGATACCTTAAAAGAAGCAAACAAAAGAAGAATCGACTACCTAGCAAACCCGACGGATGAAAAGCGTGAACAATACAATAGAGAGAGAGCCTTAGCCAGAAGAACAGTAAGGAGAAAAAAAAAGACAACATTTACAACAACAAATTGAAAAAGTAGAACGTGAACACAGAAGCAAGCAAAATAAAAAATTCTACAAAGAAGTAAGACAACATAAGAAAGGTGCATATATAAGAACACCGAACTTTGTGAGAGATAAAAATGAGCAAATGATTACAGCTGAAAATAAAATAATCGAAAGATGGGTTGAATACTTCTAAATGTCCAGGTAGACGCGGATGGAAATAAAGCAAATTGTGAGTACCAAACGGCCGAGATAGAAGTACCCCCGCCAAGCCTGGAAGAAATTATCACGGCGATAGAAACCCTAAACAATGACAAATCATCGGGACTAGACAATATTGATGCAGGTATTGGGAATATAATAAAGAAGTACACCAGATCGTCATAGATTTCAAACAAGCATATGATTCCATAGATCGCTTAAAACTGTGGAGTGCAATGATGGAAAGAACCAAAGAACCAAAGAAGCTGACCATGATTGCGCGAATGTGTGTCAACAATTCCTTTTCACAAATTAGAATAGGAGGCAAAACTTCAAAGGCTTTCGGCATAAGCACCGGGCTCAGACAGGGAGACCCGCTGTCCCCATTACTATTTAACCTAGCATTGGAATACGCAATACGAAAAATCTATACCACAGTCAAACCAGACATAACTGCCAGAGGAGCAAAGATTATTCTCGCATTTGCAGATGATGTAGATGCAGTAGCACAGACAACACTGGAAGTTAAGGATATAGTATCGAACTTTGAAGAAGCAACACTAAGCGTAGGCCTGAAAATGAACGAAGAAAAAACTAAATACATGGTCGTATCAAAAAAGGAACGACAGCGAATAAGACAAAACATTACCATAAACGATCATAATTTTGAGGTGGTCAAAGAATTCAAATACCTAGGAGCAATAATTACCAGTGAAAACACAGGAGAACGGGAGGTTGAAATACGAATACTGGCGGGGAATAAATCATTCTTTGCCATTCAACATCTAATGAGGTCAAAGCTTCTCTCAAGGCGTTCCAAAATCCAAATGTACAAAACCATATGGACCATACGACCAGCAGTGACATATGGAAGTGCAACATAGACATTGAGAAAGAAAGAAATCAATAAGCTATTAGTATGGGAACGCAAAATCCTGCGAATTATATATGGTCATTGCAGGGACAGCGTAACAAATGAATGGAGGAGCAGATACAACAATGAAATAGAGACTCTCTTCGGGAAAGGAAACATCGTAAGATACATAAAAGCCAATAGATTAAGATGGGCAGGCCACGTGGTACGGAGTGATGACGACAGACTGATTAGAAATGTGTTTTGGGAAAGACCAGATGATAAAAGATCGACAGGAAGGCCTAGAAAAAGGTGGAAAGACGCAGTCAGGGAAGACCTGGAGAAGATGGAAGTAAGGCCATGGGAAATAATAGCAGAGGATCGGAATCAATGGAAGGCAGTAGTAAACGCGGCAAAAACTCACGAAGAGTTGTAAAAGCCAATGATGATGATGAATGATAAAAATGGCCACTTTCTCTTCTTCTTCTTATGGTGCCCTATCCAATTAGTGGATGTTGGCGACAATTCTGGAATACTCCTCTCGATCTTGGGTGGCTCTGAAAAGTGCATTTGCATCGAGGTTTGTCCAATCCCTTATGTTTTTAAGCCATGAGTATTTCTTCCTTCCGATGCCTCGTTTTCCTTCTATCTTCCCTTCCATAATAAGCTTTAAGAACTGGTACTTAGAATTTCGAAATATATGACCCAGATAAGCAGTTAAGCAAACTCTCTTAAGCTTTTTTTATTTTCTGCTTAATTAATCGATCTGTTTCTTTACTATAATAATTGTGGTGTGATGTTTTCTTATCGATTTTAAAATTTTTTCCAAATCATGATAAAATATTTCAATAAACTCCCATTCTAAAAATCAGCCATTTTCACTTAAACTTTTCCCAAAAAACAAAAAATTTACCTTCTACTGTAGCATACATAACAAGTATGTCGGCCATTATGGGTATAGTGTACGTTTTGCTAGTTGCTGGTCTAGAATCCTGTTCTACGTATGTGACGACTTGCCCTGGATCAGAATCGCTTCCTCTGCAGGCCTAAAAAGTTAACTATTAAAGAAGAGAAATAATCTACTATAACGACTTATTATTTAGACAAAAAAAATTATGCTTGATTAGATGATTTTGTCAAACTTATTTCATATAAAACAACTCTAAATATGCATAAACATACCTGAATAAAAAACAGTTTTGGTTTCCCAGCCAAACTAGGACATCGTAAAGGTGTAAAATAACTCCATAATTTTTTTGTAGGATAAGGTTCGTCTCTGGCATAAATTATACCATCATCTCCATGTGACATTACTGCGATTATAAGGCACTCACATTGCGTGTGATTCATTTTGGAAACTGAAATCATATAATTGTTTAATGCTAGATTGTATATCACAATAATGTGCAATAAGCTAATTGACTGCTAAGACCGTTTAAATTCTGTCAAGAATTGAACAGGCTGAACAAACGTTTATTGACATGAGGAACTTTTTTATTAGACGTAATAGTCCCTAAACTGAGAATGCGTATGCTACGTTGCTAGTTATTTTCAATCCTTGTCTACAGCTGCAAGAGCTAAACTTTTAATAGTTCCTATAGATAAATTTACATTCAGATGGCAGCGTTACAGAGATAGGTTACAGGCAGCGTTACCTGTACTTTCTATATGCCAGAAAAAACTACATTGTTGTCAGTTTTTAATCGTACCTACAATCGTACGTTACGGGCCGGCTCCTATAAAAAAATTATAATTTCGGAAACATTTATGAATGTGAAACGGAAAAATACTACATTTTTTTAATTATATAATTTTTCTGTTGGTATTTTAAAAATAGAAAGTTATATTTCGGAAATCTGGTCTTTTCGGAATTATATCTTCTGTTCAAAATTGTTTACAATTCGTGGAAATGAAATAATTATTTGTATAATCCGTTTTTGATCTTAATGTCCTTTTAATGACACACTTTCTCTACCTGCATTTACAGTTACAGACATTAAAAAATAATTTAGAATTAAAAAAATATACCTATTTATAAATTTAAAATTATTGTCTAATGCCAGCAATTATAAATTCAGGTAAATACTTGAGAGTCATTAAAAGAATTTTCAGTTGATATCAGACGTTTGTGTCGTGTCAGTGTCAAAATGGCCGCGAGTGTAATAAAATTCAAAAGCGGTAATTTGTTAAATAGTGAATGCAAAAAAATAGTGTTAAATGTTTTTAACTATTTATCAAACAGTAATAATGATAAAAGTGTATCAACAATAGTGCGGGAAGTTTCTGCTATGACTGGAGTCTCTGAGCGAACGATATTCCGATATAGAAGTGAAAGTAAAAATGGTCCACTCGTAACTCCTATAAGAAAAAAAAACGAACCGGTTATTTGAATAGTCGTGAGAATAGATATGATGAAGCAACTCGGTCTAGAATAAGACAAGTAGTGCACGGTTTTTTTATGGACAATATTCCTCCAAACCTTGACGTAGTACTAGAAAAAATTAAGCAAATGGAGCATCTTCCGAATTTTTCCAAGAGTACGTTGAGAAGACTATTGCACGACATGGGTTTTATATATGGCAAACAAGGTAGAAATTCAATATTAATAGAAAAACAAGAAATAGTCGCTTGGAGGCGTCACTATCTCCGGGAAATAAAGAAACTGAGGAACGAAGGAGCCAATATCATTTATATGGACGAATCATGGGTTAATACTGGAATAACCAATGGGCAAGTATGGCAAGATACAACAATAAAAAATAGCCGACAGGCTTTCGTAAATGGACTTACCACAGGTTTAAAAACTCCGACCGGAAAAGGACCAAGATTTGTTTTAGTCCATGCAGGAAACAAAAACGGATTTGTTGAAGGTGCTGACATCACTTTTCTTGCCAAAAAAGGTGCTGAAGATTACCATGAAGAGATGGACGGAGATTTATTTGAAAAATGGTTTGAAGAGATGTTAATACCAAATCTCCCAAAAAATAAAAAGAATGTCATTATCTTGGACAATGCATCTTATCACTCTAGGAAATTAAATTTTCCCAAACAATATTGGCTGAAACGTCAAATTAAGGAGTGGCTCTATGAAAAGGACATTTATTTCGAAGAAGATTACTTAAAAAATGAACTTCTGGAAACTGCTAATGTATTTAAAAATATTTATGACAAATACAAAATTGATTGTATTGGTGAAAAATACAGGAATCACAGTGACGAACAATGCCGCGTAGATGTACATATCTTAAGACTTCCGCCTTATCACTGTGAACTGAACCCAATAGAAATGGTGTGGAGTGAAGTGAAACGGTACGTGTCCTCTAAGAATTCAAGTTTCAAACAAAACGACGTTAAAACATTGATTTATGAAGGTTATGATAAAGTACAGAACAATTTAACATTGGAAAAATTTCGTCAACCATGTTATAAAATTGGAGAATAATTTTTGGACAGTAGACAACATTCAAGATGACATTGAACCTATTAGAATTTCATTAAACGATGACTCTGAAGATGAACTAGATTATGAAAATAAAGATGATTGAAAATTGTTTTTCGGGGGTATTCTTTTCTCAGTAAAGGTAATAAAATATTTAGTTGATCTGGTTGAAATGTAGCACACTTAAATAACTCATTAATCGACATAATTTCAAGTAGTTATATTAGACGTCATTATGCAAAAAATTAAGTTATGAACATTTAATAAATTAGTGCACAGTTGAGGCCCCTAGAACACAAGGGGTGTAAGTGCCAAAAACAAAGTTTTGAAAAATCTTTGTTCAAAGTTCGATATAAATTTAAAAACCTAGGTAGCACTTTTTCAGTTTTCAGCATGTTTTTAATGACATGTAATTTTTGATGGTGTTATTGTTGTTAATGTAGAAAGTTTGAAGCCAAAAGTACGTGCCTGTTGTTAGATATCAGTTGCTAAGTGATAAGCAACTGCACTTACACCCTTGTGTTCTAGGGGCCTCAATTAGGGGTTTTTGCAATTATCTCAGTCATTTGTTTATGTATTTTAATTTACAAACTAAAAAATTAAAAAACTTTTTAAATTCGGCAACATTTATTTAAAACATTTTTCCCTAAAATGCACGAGGAACAAAATAGGCAAAAAAATTATTTTTTCCAAACTTCATCTTTCTTTAAAAAATAAACAAAGCAAAATTGGCTGTAATTCTTCAAGGAATTATCATCAGTTATCCCTTATCTACCGTTTAGAACATTAAAAAACCTGTAGAATATTTTTCATATTTTTTCCCTATTAACTGCGGTATTATGTATAAAAGCATTTTAGGAATTATTACCATTTATTTCATTCACGAATTTTCTATTAACAACTTTAGCTTACCTAAACATATCTTAGTTTACCGTGAGTTTGGCCCTGCTTATTTTACAAAAGTAGCAAAACTTACAATGGCAGTAGAATTGGCAACGCTGTTATCCTATATCCGTACACTGCCATCTGAACGTGACTTTATCTATAGAGAAACACAACAACGCTTTCGAAATGTACCTTTATAGAAGAATACTACGTACTTGGACCAAAATTGTAGAGTTTTAAATTTTTTTAACCATGAAATATTATAGACATGTAAGTTTTTTTTTCTTTGTAATTTTATATTTTGCAACTATTGATATATTTTTACATTGTCTATTTTTGTAACTGTTTGTTTGAGCTAAAAATAAATGTTTGATTTATTTTTCCAATCATTTTGTCTTTATTTTAGAAAAATCTCCTAACCTTTTTTGTGTGTTTACTTTTCTAGGAAAGAAGAGCCTATTTTTTCTTTCCTTCAACAAACTAGGATCCTTCGAAGCAGCGCCCTTATCTAAATTTGCTACAAGCCCATTTTTGTTGTCTTTATTGCCCAGTTGTCCAGGAGATTTATGTAAGATTTATGTGTTTAACTCAGTTAAACCCTAAGTGCCGTTCGCATAAGTATCGATTATTTTTCTTGCCCTATCTCAGCCCCCTTAATTTCTGCCCCCCAATTTTCTACCCCCATAATCTTACCCTAAGGTAGGCAAAATATATCGTTACAAAATAATAACAAACACACCAAACAAAGAGCGTAAGCTAATGTGCATCGGATACCTAATGTGACGGGATAGATATAAAATACTTCGGTTAATCATCGAAGGCAAAATTCAGGGGAAGAAGTCAATAGGAAGGAGACATAATTCATGGCTCAAGGAGTTACTCCGATGGCTCCCTGAGTTCCCAAGCTTAAAGTCCCATTTCCGCTAACTAACTTCTGTTAGCAAATAATGAACTTTCTGATGAGTGCTTTGATATTCCATAAGCTACACCTCTCAAATATTGCAGATAATAAACTTCAACCACCAAATAAGTTGAATCCAAGTGTCGCTCTCAAAAAACTGGTATATTTGCTAATATGTGTAAGGACCCTTATGTTAGTGGTGCAAGTAATGACTAAATAATTTTTTCCTACCGTTGTTATCAATTCTATTCTTCTTATCCTTCACATCATACGACTAAGCAACTATCTACTTCTGCCCCACTCTCGTAAATTGGAAATGAAAAAAAGGGAACATACATACCTAGAAGAGGAGAGCACAAACGAGGTCGTCATAGTTAAGACATGGTGATAGGTTAGGTCAACTAGTCACGAATATGAAGAGTTGCTCAGTTTCAAATTTCTGTAAGCAGTATGGAAGGTAGATCAAAGAAGACTTGATGGGAGACGTTAAGGCAGGAAATGTCTTTAATAATGATTAACATTGGTATGAACCAAGGTCATTAAGCAAGTCAAACCCAAATGCGGATAAAGCCAAAGAGAATGATTACGATAAATTCCTTCTTCTGGTAAATTTTATGATTTTGGACATCTGGCGGCTTATATTAAGCCTTACATTTAAAGTCCAAGATCAGATCCTGTTGCATTCCATGCCTGATTGTACCATTCAATTTGTTAAAGGCTAAGAAGACCAGCACAATTCAGGACATAATTAATGCCTGTCGTAGTTGCATCTAGCTATTCGTCCAACCCTGAACAGATTCCACAATAGAGAAGAAAAGACATATTCCACAAGACTTAACCTTCAAAGCAAACTGCAGTCCAGAACTTGTAATAGCGGAACCCTATTAAACAGCCAAGCTTTAAGGAGGTACAGAGAACAATCTTAATCCACTTCTTTCATGCGAAAGACTGAGAGCTTAAGCCCTGGAGAAAAACAACTGGTAACTGAGCTTTTTAAATCAGCTAGTCAAGGTTTGTGTGTACCTAAAAAATACAATAAAAGTGATTAATTGACCTTGACAAAAAAGGTAAACTACTCAGTGTGACATTCAAAGTCTTCTCTAGTATACTATATACAAAAGATGTTGATGTATTTGTACATACAGAAACGATATTACTGTATATACTGTTTATAGATTTCCAGAAGTATTTTTTACGTGATATAATGCAAAGATTTGGGTTACTGATGAAACTCATAAGACTTGTGACTGGGAAGTTTGGAGAGTTATGAGGAAAAGGTGTAGGTTGCAGAAGAGAAGACTTATGATTAATATCGGAGTATAGCAGGGAGATGATCATTCTGTAAATCTTTTAACATGACTCTGGAACTGAAAGTAAAGGACAGAGGTTAAGCTGAAGCATGTGGAAAAACTAGCATGGGTTTACGTAAAAATAAGATAAGAGGATCAGATCAGTACTATAGTTAAGATTTTTGATGAAATACCTGAGGAATGGCTGAAGTCTGTTTTTATAGCAATTCTAAAGAAGACTGGGGTAAAAAGATGCAAATAATACAGGTTAATTAGTCTGATGAACCACACATTGTAAATGTTTCTTCGTATTATTTATGAAAAAATATGAAACCATTGCAAAAGAGAAACCCTGATGAAACCTAGATGACAGTCAGGTAAGATTTAGCAATACGCTTAGGTATCCGTGAGGCACTTTTTGGCTTAAATGTACTTAAAAAATGTCGCGTCTAACATAAAGATTTGTGGCTTTCATCGATTGCGTAAAGGGTTTCCACGGCATAAAACGCTTTTGAACATATTGAACCAAAGACATTGATTATATAGACCATATTAGGTCAAAGAATGATCAAATGTTATATTTAGTCAGTGTTCTTACATTGTATGGAGACCAGGACTCTGAAGGCTGATACGATCTATCACCTAGAGGCGTTTGAGATATGTGGTTGCGTATAAGAATGCTCCAAATACCCTGGGCAACGATGCAGCATTAAGATAGCACGTCTAAGGGGGGTAGGCCATGTAATGCGGATGGAGCAAACCGACCCAGCTAAAAAAACGCTCCGTGATAGAACTATTGGTCAAAGAAGAAGAGGAAGACCCAGAACAAGATTCCTAGATAACATAGACCAAGATATGAGAAATATGACAATACGTGCTTGGCGGAGGAAGGCGATAGATAGGGACGACTGGAAGAGAATTATTGGGGAGGCTAGGACCCACACAGGGTTGTGAAACCTAAATGATGATGATGATGAATGCGATTAGAAAATTATTAAAACAAGAAAAATTTGTACATACCACGTGTTCTTAGAGGAGACCGGTGGAGAATCCTTTAGCTTATCATGAAAGGTAAAATCTAGGGCTGCAAAGAAATTGGAAGGAAGCAGATGTCATGGCTCAAGAACATTCGCGATTGGGCAGAAATAGGCAGTGGCGGATAATATATATAATTGACAATGTTAAAGGGAACCTAATATGGTACTAAAAGACGAAGATGTATTCTGATTCTATTTTTCTCAGGGATGGTTTATTCAATCTAATTTTCAAAATACTAGTCCAAAATCCTACTCTATTTCGACTGAGGATAATAACTTTACATTTAAATACAAATACGAGTAAAATATCTATACATACCTATACCTAGTACTTCTAGTAATGATTCTAAGGTTAAATCGTTGTAGACCTGGACATCAAAAGTTAATTCACGAAGTACTTTTTGTAAAGCATCTCTATCTAGATCAGTACCGTCTCTTGGAGAGACATTTTCCATTGTAAAATACCTATGATTAAAAATAATAGCTGTTCCCTTTACTTTACATTTATCATAAACTTCTGCATCTGGAGGTGGAGCCTTTGGAAGATCTACTGGAGGTGGGGTTCTAAAAAGAGAATTGAAAAGTTTAATTAGTCGATCAGATAGCCAAGCTGGGCAAGCAGTCGACTCTCATTTCTCTAAAGCGAAAAGCTCTAGTGAAGGTGCGTTCTAATCCTGGCCGGGTGTACAGAAAATTAAAGAGGCTGAACGTGGCAATTTAGCGGAACGTAAGCTGAGCGAGATTCCATCTACTAATATGTGGAATTAAAATGCAGCTAATTTAGACAAACAGGGGAACCAAAAACCCACAGATGATCAAAATGGTATGTGAAATGAAGCAGGGTATGTTACTCCTTAATGCAAGTTACGAGACAAAGACAATGTAGACAACCTGGTCAAAAAACGAACCCACTCGAGCATAGTTAAATAACTGAATAAATAAATCAATTGAAAAATCTTATTAGAAGGTTAATGGAAGTGTGTTGTTTCGCATTCTTTGTCAATTTCTCGCAATACTTCCGTGTTAGTTTTCTTCTATGTCTATGCTATTCTAAGCATCCTCCTGTAACACCACATTTCAAAGGACTGTAACTTATTTATGTGTTCTTGCTTCAATATCCAGCTTTCAAGTCCATATTGCAGTATCAAAAACACGTAGCATCTCAGTGCTCTTACTCTCAGTTCTAATTTAAGATCTTTGTTGCAGAGAGTTGTTTTCATTTTCATTTCATACCAAGTGGCCGAAGTAACAGCAAAGAATCGCTGAATTTAATTTAAACATTTTATCAGGGTATTCGCATGAATTTGAATCTTTTTGACTTTTTCATTGCTATTTTTGTTCTTACCATCCTATAGTGACTTCTGGGCACTTGTTATGACGGTACTAGAGTTATTAAGACATCCTAGGGCAGGTGTGTTGGAAGATCCTCCTCAATTCACTCGTAAACAGATTTTATAGATCGTTGAAATTACATTACTCTTTACATAATTATTGAGGTAGACCTGATACCAGTCCACGATAAACACGGTAATAATAAAAATAATAATTACTTCACATGCGAATTCTAATTTATATCTGTTAACTCGGTCACATATTTCCATCTAATCATCAGATTGGCTGACCACGAAAACCAATTTCGTGAGTGTGTTAATAAACAAAAACTTATTTTTATAACAAGGAATTGTTTAAAATTCCCTGTTTTGCGTTGTAATGTAAGCGTAGCAAGTGAGTGAGAAGTTGGAATAAAGGGATAATGGAACAATAAGTAGCATAGAAAAGATAATAATTATTCGAGATAATTATCATATATTCCAAATTAAATAAGGGATAATTAATACAGTTAACTTATACATTTAAATTATACAAATTGACCTAGTTATTGCATTGTTTGATAATTGTTTAAACGTATAAAAAGCACGAAACATCCGTGACCCAAATAGGCAGCAATAATACCAAAACTGCAACTCAGCGAACCTACGACCTTGGTACTAGAACCGGCGTTGAAAGTACGACCACAATAAAACAAGAAAAAACGACGGACGCCAGACAGTCGGTAGTTAGTAGTCAGTCATTAGTAGTGATAACGGGGGCGCCGTAACGGCCCGCCCAGGGCAGTGATCGCCGGACGCGATAGCGTCCAGTACGCGAGACAGTCGGTGATTTTCCGGGGGCCGGGTATCTTCTGTCAGAATTCGCGTGTAGTCCGGTTATTGTGGCAGCTCGAAAGTTCGCAACCCTCAACTGACCGAGTTCCAGAAGACTGAACGTGTCGTGGTTGAAGCCCTAATATACACATAAGGTAACAGATTTTCTTTATACTAACCTGTGTAATTATATTAGTACCTCTGTCAACTTTTCACTATCTTGCTACATCGTCTCCCGACGCGCAGAACAACGTGTTAACGATTGTATTAGGAACTTCAGGGTAGATTCAATATATTGTTGACTCTAATATGGTTTTTTTTTAATGTTCCTTCGTCCGACTCACTAGAGACTAGGAGAATACGAGAATTCTGCGTATACATATCTCCGGCTTCAAAAGTAAGCCCATAACCTCTACTCTTTACAGGACCTGAGACCGAGGAGTTCTTACCCCTATCCCGAAATCCCTTATCTTCTCGTAAATCCACGAAGACGAGCCAGCCCTCCAGACCAGTGTGACCAGTATTCCTTGCAGCCGCTCGCAGGGTTAGCATCCCTTGAGGATCTATTGTATTTTACATTTGGTGGCAGTCTTTACAGGACCCTATACATAGAAGTCCTTAATCCCTCTCCACTTCTCGTAAATCTGTCTCAGATTATTACATTGGTGACAGCGGTCCCGGTTTGGGGGAATTTCGGTAAATAGGGATAATTAAGTCACTTCTTCAGTATCCTTGTAAACTTTTGCAAGTTTTGTAGCTATAAGAAGCCTTCATCGTTTCATTTCGCCAGTGACATTCCAATTTTTTCTTCTCTTTCCTAAGACGACAACAGATTAAAGAAACAGTGAGGTATCCAGTAAATATTGTGTGGAGTGCAGGACTCCCTTTTCTGGAAGAAAATCCTTTTTCTCTCTTTGTTATATAAACTTGTTAGTGGTTTTACACAAATTATTCGTATATAGTAGATTTTTTTTGTCTTGTATCACTGGAAAATAACCTCATATCAATTCCTTCCCGAGACTTAGAATCCTAAATTAAGATAGGTGAATTGCTTTTATGATATATGTGAAGAGATGACAAGTACAAATTTTTTCAAAAATACATACTAACACATTATATGATGTTCTCTATATAATTGTTTTTTTTAATTACCATAATATTGCACTAAAAATATAAACTATACTGTCTAACAGAACATATGATACAATATGGCATAACAGAGATTATTAATTATCAGTCGATTATATGAATTGGATATAATTATTCGAAGAAATAATAAATATATTGTTTACTAACTAGTTGAATATAAAGAATTTAAGTTAGTAGGTCAAGATCAAGTTCATTTGAGTGTACGAGTTTATTGCTTTCAAAAAGCGCAAAATATAAATTCTTTAAATATTGTTTTACTAACTAACGGTTTACATAAATATTATCAAATTCTTTTGTTTAATGTATCAAGTGAAAGTGAAATATGATACTATTTGCTCGACGTGTGTTTGAAAAATATTAAACGCGCTTGGTCAAGTAATATACACTGAAAAATTAGATATGACTTTGCTAAAGTAAATTGGGATATTTGGATTTATAAATAACGTTCAATTCGTAAAAAGGAAAAGAATTTAATAGAGTTTAATTTTTCAAAAAAAAAAAATTAATACTAACACCTTATTTGATATTTGACTATTGATTGATTGATCGATTATTATTGATTTGATTATTTGATATTTCCTACAGATTTTTTTTTTAAGTTCGGCAGTGTATATTTCTAAGTTCTTTATTTTAACAAAAATTTAATTCTTTATACAATTGTTGGTTAACTTCATAAATTGGCACATCATACGGAGATGGACATATAAACAAAAAGGGAACAGAATTTAATGGAGCTTTGGAAGATAATTGACCGTGGCGTCAGAAAATCTTTTTTACTATTTTGGAATGATTTCCACGAACATATAAGTTCGGGAATGGATGCATCGCAAGGAAAATGCATAGAAGCACGTAAAGTGATTCTTTGGGCTGTGGCCCATACTTAAAGAAAATTTAAATGGGATGTGGCGTCAGAAAATCTTTTTCACTATTTGGAATGATTTGGAATGATTTGGAATGATGGAACAGTCAAGATTTAGTAGACGTAGAGCTTGCATCGCAAGGAAAATGCATAGAAGCACGTAAAGTGGTTCTTTGGGCTGTGGCCCATATTTAAAGAAAATTTGAGTCGAATCTTTGTCAACGTCCTATAGAGATTTTGACAAACGTAACTTGCGAGACACTAGGAGGCTTGCTGCAGTTTATGTACCAGGGAAAAGTGCAAATTGGACAGGAAGACCTAAGGGCCTTCCCTGAAGCGGCCGAAGTGTTGCAAAGGCAAGGACTCGCTGGAGACGGAAAAGTTATAATAGTTACTATCGTTTAAAGTAACTTGCTACAGTTTATGTACCAGGGGAAAGTGCAAATTGGACAGGAAGACCTAAGGGCCTTCACTGAAGCACTGAATCGTTGCTAAGGCAAGGACTCGCTGGAGACGGAAAAATTATAGTAGTTACTATCGTTAAAGTAACATTATGGAACTTTATTTATGTATTTATGGAACGTACTCTAAATGAGTAAGAGTTTAAGCCAGTTTCTTTGCTTGAGACAAAGAAGCAGAACCATAAATAAGAAGGAATAATTTAGTGGACACAGGTGGGATGCCACAGAAATAGAGGCATATCTCACACAGCATGCGAAGGTGAATACAGTGCCAGAAGTATATTTTTTTACAGGAATGTAGGCAAGCTGTATATGGTTCGACCTTAAGGGGTGAAACTTACGTCAAATAGGAGGCTGCTAAGGGGATAAGCTAGGGTGGTACTAGAATCCCAACCCGCTAAGAGTCCCGCGGCTCCAGCACGACAATACAGTATCTACAGGATGTAATAAAAATGCGAAACGAATCTGGAATTATGACTTTGTTCATGAAGTAAATGGAAAAGTGAAGAAAAAGAAGAGTTATAATTAATACCTTCCACGTGTTACAGGAAGGATATGGAAGAATAAATAGGATAAGTAGTACAGAAATATAAGAGAATATTATTTCTGGAACGAATTATGAAGAAGTATTGGGAAATATGTGAAATGTGAAGAGATGCAACGACTGCCAGGGGCACGAGCATGAGAGCAAAAATGAGAAGGAATAGGAGAATATTATAGGAACCCATGGACAGGGACATGGATGAAAAATGAAAAATGTGAGAAGAAAAACAGGAGAATAATATATTAACCCATGGACACGGACATGGATGAAAAATGAAAATAGTGTATAGAAAAACACAGGAGAATATAAATATATAAAATTTGAATTGGAGAGAATTTGAAGATGGAGATAAGGTATATCTGAGAGACTTAAGTAGCACGACAGGTCTTTCAAACAAGTTACAGAAA